TCGACGCCCCAAAGTCCGTAGTGGGGACCTTAATTGGGCCTGGAAGACATATCCAGGTGTCTGAAGACAACTCCCAGCCGCCTCCTGGGCTCGGTGGCCTATTGGCCTTTGCCTGGCTGGGATTTAGCTGGGTTGTTAGCACATGTCGGGGTGGGGTTAAGCGCATCGGTTCCTGCATCTGGCGTAAACCTTAGCCTTGGGGGCGCTTCTAGTGAGTGCCTAGTGTCCACCCCGGAGATGAGGAGCCCGTGGGAGCCCAAGCTACGGCAAATCATCAATCCACTCATTGAAATTTGGTCGTTGCAGTCCACCACATACGCCAACAATTTTTCCAGAGCTATGATATTGTCCACACAACCTCCGATCTTATGTGCAGGGCCTTGTCCGAACGACCACGCCCTGTCGAATCATGCCTCTGCAGACCTTTAACGAGGCTGGAGCCGGGAATGCTCAACAGCTCAGAGTTCCATCTCTCCTTGGGTTGCCTGGATACCCTCCAGTTATGAGTGGATGGTGCTCTATGGGTCAGAGCCTCATCTCCAGTTCCCCATGTGCTTTTGATTTGCTAGCGGTATTTCTGGCCAGGATGACCTGGTCGCCTGCTGGTCTTAGGTGCGGCCACCGTTGCGCTACGCAAGGCCAGAAGATCACCTCGTCGGGCGCATCCCGTCAATATCGGACACCAGCCACCTCAAACGGCATACCTACGAGCATCTACGAGTACGAGAGTGCCTGAGGTGATCTCATCGAGATGAGTGGCGCAAGAGATAGTACGAGTAGAAATGGTTGTCGTCACTACTGGTGAGAGGATGAGGTCCACACCTTTCCTCAGGCGCCAGGACTGCGGCTTTGCGATGCTGACAGAAAACCTGCCTCGACAGCCAATGCGAGAAGAGAACCTTCACCGCTTGCGAGCATGTCTCGAGAAAGCTTGAAGAAGAACAGGAAGTCCGAGATGTCATTTGGGAACTCGCCGCCTGGGGTACCAACTGCACAAGGAGTCATGACACTCGTCTGTAGCGAGTTCAATGCTCATGGTATCCATATCTCTTCATGATGCCTCTGGCTAACCACAACGAGTGCGAGGGCTTGGCCGACAGAGAGCCGCCTACAAGTTTGTACTCATACCGACAACATACCGCATGTTCAACGTTAGCTGAAACTGCCAATCGGTCAATCTATCTCCTCCGCCTCCTTTTCCGCTCCTGCTCGTTCCGCGCGGAGCTTGGCGATCAATATCCTCGTTGAACCGGGGTCATCTCTCGGGGTTGGCTCTGGTTGGTAAATCAGAGAGCACACACATGGGTTCAGAAAGTCCACTTCACCCAGGGGAGCCTCTGCCCTGTCTCGGACAAGGTCCTTCGCCCTCGATTATCATTTCGCCTATTCGTCGACAGAGGAGAAATTGCTTTGACCCTTCCCAGGAAAAGCGACTTGCATATTGCTGTGGCTGAAAGTCAGCGCCCTGGTCGCATCCGGCCAGCACCATACGCAGACCTGACCACCTGACGCTGGACAATCAGGACCTCCGACCGTATCGCTGCCGTCACTTCCATTACACAGCTGAGATCCTGGTTGAAGCTGAACTTGCATGTCATGTGAGCTCCGTTAATAGCCAGTCGAAAAATCTCCTGTTCCGTCTTGGATACGAAAGCAACAACCACTGGCCGAGACCCTTCGTCTGTCGAGAGTGTCAAACAATGCCTTGGGATCCACAAGGACATTGGTCTATGAAGCAACCTTTGGTCACCGGATCTGCAACCACCCGCCTCAAGCCCGGCTTCCTCGTTTACCTGTATTAACATGCTCAATGCAGCTCGGAATGGCTAGGATTGCAGGAGGCCTCAGCAACACCAGGACGTGACGGGTGGCCAGAGTCCGAGCCACTGCTCGTGTTCTTTCAACGGACTCCGTACTCGGGACAGTCCCCATGAGTTGGCTCACATCGAAAACTTGGTCTCACTCGTACGCTTGAAGGCAGGATACTATGTCTACTCGCCTACAGTGGTCCAGAGGGAGTCACTTTGCTTGTGGAATTATAGCCGCTGTGGTACTAAGAACGCTCTTCTCTTCGCTGGCAACAACAACGCAGAGATTGGGTAGGTAGCTCTCCACTTAAGAGCTTACAGGTAAGTGATGCGGTCGTCGAGCACAATGCTCAGCTTATGCAGGCTTGTTGTTTTCCGCTGTTCTCTTCCATTGTGAATACCCTCCCTGGGAGCTTTGACGAGAGCAGTATGTGCCAACAGTGACATTACGTATACTCTAGCCACCCGGAGCTAGTCGACTGTGTTGAGTACTGCAGCCATTGTTGGGCGAATAAAGTCCTTAGAGAGAGATCTAGCGAGATCATTTTCCAGCTCGCTACTAGTCAGCTACAAGGAACTTCAACAGGCATTCCTCTCTTTTCACCTCGCAGACGAAGATCTCAGGGATCAATCAGAGATAGAGCAGTCGTGGCCTTGACGCCATGGTCGATGACCACCTGGAGACCACATTGCAAACGTGATCATTTGTCGAGAGCGTAGGACAGAGCGTCACCTTGGATTCCACACGAACAAGCGGGCCGTTGGAGAATATCATATATACTAGGAGACAAATCTCCATTCCCCAAGCCCCAATATCAAATCCCCATGGTATTAGCGCCGAACATGGAGCCAACAGAAGAGAAGCCTATGCTTACCCAACCTCGCGTGAGGAGACAGGCTACCCAGCAAACTGCCGGGTCTCGAGCTCTGAAAGCACCTCAAATGGGGGACACTGGATCACGAATTCCTCAGTTTCAATGCTGTAAACCTCGGCGGATTCACTCCGTGCGGGGGTGTCGAATCCCGCTGGGATACGGCACTCTTTTTAAATGCGGATTTTGCTCTCAAATAATCGTCGAGAACATATCATCCTTGTACGGGTAGTGACAGCGAAGTACAACTGGAGAGCCAAGTGAAGCAGCGCGAGATCATGGCGACGGCAGGCGGGGATTTATTCTCCTCCATCAACCGGGACGAACTGGGCAGAATCGAGGCAGAAATCAACGGAGACCCAGAGTTCAAAGCATCTGCGGCCAAGGTGGACAATGTCCGATTTGGAATCTGCTCTTCAAATGCTGGCGACAAGCTGCTCTTTAGCATCAATCTGGGGAATGTGACAGTACAGGATGGCTCAGCGGCTGAGTGGACGCCTCAATTTGGGCTCAACGCACAATCGGAACACTGGCAGCACGTTTTTGCTGCTGTACCCAAGCGCCCATTTCAGTCATACTGGGGGATGCTCCGGCTGCTGGGCTCAAGCGCTGGTGTCGAGGTCACTGGCGACAAGGAAGCCTTCACCAAACATGCGCGGCTGTGGCGGATCGTGTTGGACCGGATCCGGGACGCATTGCACCCTCCGCCGGGCGCGTCGACTGTGGCTGAATATACCCCAGATGACGAGTGCGACGACGACTCCATCGTTGGTCATTATACCTGGCTCACGTTGACACCGGTGGGGAAGTGCAAGATCTTCTACGAGATCTCAGGCCACGGCGAGCAAACCGTCCTCTTCCTCCACACCGCAGGGGCCGACTCACGGCAGTATCACTCGCTCATGCTCAACAAAGCCCTTCAAAGCCGATGCACCATGTACGCCTTTGATCTGCCGGGCCACGGGCGCTCGTTTCCCGGTACGCTGCAATACCCTCACTCGTACGCAAACAGCGAGGACTTTTACATCTCGGCGATCCACCAAATGATTTTGAAACTCAAGCTCAAACGCGTCATTGTCTCCGGCGCCAGCATGGGCGGTGAGGTTTGTCTAGCGGTGGCGCTGCGGGCCAAGGAGATGGATGTCCGGGGCGTGATCCCCTGCGAAGCATGCGACTACCTGCCCGCGCAGCAGGCGGCGGCCATCTATTCGCTGCAGGGCGACGAGGCGGTGCTCAACGCGGAGCGCGTGTGCGGCATGATCTCGCCCACCTCGCCGGCCATCTACAAACGGCTGAACTGGTGGTTGTACTCGGCGCAGGCCTCGCAGATTTTTCCGGGCGACCTCAAGTTCTACTTTGAGGGGTGGGACGGCCGCGACCGCATGGCCCAGATCGACACGGCCGCCTGCCCCGTGTACATGCTGACGGGTGAGTACGACTACAGCTGCTCGCCCGAGACGAGCCGGCGCACGGCCGACAAGATCCAGGGCGCCGTGTTCGAGGAGATGAAGGGGCTAGGCCACTTTCCCTTTAGCGAGGACCCGGAGCGTTTCCTGCCCTATTTCACCAGGGCGCTGGATCACATTCTGGCAAAAGGGACGTGAGAATCAAAAACATTAGGCTTACCTGCCTGCCTGCCTGCGTGAGTGACTGATGGCTGGGCTGGGCTGTGTCAAATACGAGTGTTGTCAGATACATGGTGACACTGTCCCACTCGCACTCGCACTCGAACTCGAACTGCTTCTCTAGTGGGTACATGGATATACCGAGTATAGGTAAAGATAGGCATCCTAGGTAGATATTTCATCCATGCTCGATTAGATACCTAGGTATTAGGTATACATCTAGCCCCCTAGGCTAGATAAACCTGATCCGATCGTGAACCGGATCCATTTGCTATACCATATCATCCGTCTATCCATTCGTCCATCCATAGATCAATCCATCAATCCATCAATCCATCACATCGTAGATATACATATAGATGTACTACTACTTCTTCTGCTGTAGCTAGCTGTCTACGCATGTAGCTTCGTCATCCTCTGCCCAAAACCAGAGGGAGAGTCAAAATCCAAAAGAGACACTCGCCTACCAACGCAGCACAGGATAGTGTGAAAAAACTCCTTTCGCGGCAAGGTAAACAGCAAATGCAAGTTGATGCTAGGGTAGAGCAGACAGACAGATATTCGTGATTTCGTCCACATTCCGCCCGAGGTTGATAAGTCGTTGAGAACACGTCGATGGGTGTCCTTCTCGTCTTCGCTCTCTCTGTTTCTCTTTCTCATTCTGTGTGTGTATGTGTGTGAGTGAGTCTCGCAAATCATGACGGAATCGCCGCCTGAGCGGCCCTCAACCCCCCAACGACGGTGAAACTCAAGATGGGCGAGATGAGGTACGAGATCTGTGTGACACCGGGTAAGTACGTTGGCGTCCAGCCCAGGCGGTCTAAAGATCTAGAGAACTCAAAACTTACAGTCAATAATTTGGCAATGTTGCGTTCGTCTTCCTCTTCGGCGTCGCTAACTTGGACGAGCGTGATTAATTTCATCGCGGGAGGGCCGGTGGGCTGTTGGTGGTGAGGGTCAGCAACAAAAGAAGCGGGAGTTATGGTCAAGAGGTACTTGATGGTCGTTGTAACATGTCATGTATACACAACAGACCAAAGCGCAAGGAGGCATGGTGACTCAATGCAGACTTCGGACACTGTCTCACAAATAGGCCCAGACGAAGAGGGCAGGGAAAGGGAGACAATCAGACTCACCATCAACATCATGGCAAACCACAACATCGGGTCCGGGCCCAGCACGGTCGACTTTGACGCAACCAGGAATATAAAGTAGATGGACGCCGCGGGCCACAGGACAAACCGCACGACCATGATAAACGTCACGGTGAGCCAGGGCATGTGCTGGGTTTTCTGGCCCTCGCGGGACGCCTGCCGGGCCTCTTGCATGGCCGTGTACAGACTCACGCCGGCGACGACGACAGGCAGGGGCACGAACAGGCCGCCAATGTTCTTCAGCGAGGCCGTCAGCCAGGCCGTGAAGATGCCACCCTCGTACGTGTCGTTGAAAAACGCGCGGTGCAGCACCGGGATCAGGCCGATGACGACGCCGACGAGGGCGCCCAGGAGCGGCGCGTTGAAGAAGTCCGAAATAAACAGCAGCCACCATTTGGCGCGCGGGCCGAGCTTGTACCACTGCTTCTTGGGCACGATGGACGCCCGCCGTTGCAGGGTCACGGCGGCCATCGACGACCGCCGCGAGGGTTGGGCTGGTCGCCCGGAAAAGGACGAGCGGCGCGTCGACGGGAAGAACGAGTTCTCGGTGTAGTTGGCGAAGGACACGGTCGACTGTCGTTGCGGGAAGGTGTATGTGTCGGGACTCTGTAGCAGACCCGTCTCCTCGTTGACCTCCCCGGCCTCGTCGTCGGTACGGTCGCGGTATGCTCGCTCCACAGCGTCAAAGGGCTCGTCTCGCTCCGGCGCGTCGTCCTTGGACTCCCCTTCGTCGTCGTCGTCGGGCGCATTCTCCGTGTCGATCAATCTCGGCCCGACGGCAAAAGTCAGACAGCTGCTGACCGTGGCAAAGACCAAGAAGTAGCTCTTGGCCCTCTCGACAGCCGCGTCGGTGGTCTCGTCCGTCACAATCAGCGCGCGCAGGATGCCCGTCTCGTCCAGCGCCTCAATCAGGAGGAGCGGGTAAGAAGTCGTGTTGTTGAACATGAGCGCCACGGTGGTCCAGTCCGGCATACCCAGCCACAAATGTGCGACGATGCCGATAACAAAGGAGATGAGGTGGCAGACGATGGCCCAAATGAAGACGATGAGATAGCGCTTCGCCGACCCCGCGTGCAGCTCGGAGCCAATCTTGACGATCAGCAGGGCCGGCAGGAACATGCGCACGCATATCTTGGAGAGCGCCTTTGTATTGGCCGAATTGAGCAGCTTGAGGTGGGCGGCGACTCCCCCGTAGAAGATGACCAGCAGGACTGACAGCGAGGCCTGGATTGCGGCCAGGAAGGAGTTGAGGAGGCCCGTGGGCGCCATGGTCATGTGTGTGAATTGACACAGGATACACAGGAGTCCGTAGGAGAAAGATAGGAGTGCTTAGACACAAATGTGGGGAGAAAGAGGCGAGGCGGGCGAGGCCAAAGGGGAGCGAAGCCAAAGAAAGGGAGCTCCAGATGTTCGTCGGCTACCGAAGCTTGACTTGAGGAGCGAGAGACGAGAGACAAGAGACAGATACGAGATACAAACTAATAAGAGGCAAAGATGCCACTAGACTCGATCCGATGCATTTAGGATGTGCGGCTGAGCTTCGTGGCTTCATGCTAATGAGCACGTCATACTCGGTGCTGGACCGAGCAATATACATACAATACGGAACCTACTACAATGCAATGACTGGAGATAAATATCCATCCGAGTCCGTGTCTTCGCCTAAACTTTGTGGTTTCCCTCCCGCCTTTGCCTTTGCCCTTTGCCCTTTGCCTCTGCTAATTCTACCCGAGAACAACAAACACTGATATCAAATTCGTATAGGCTGAACGTGCACACGTTTCCCTTTTTCAAGTCCCCGATCCCAATAGAATGCGCCTGCTCCGTTGATTCCATCCAAACCCCGTAACAAAATCCTTTACTGGAGCTCAATAGCCGGAAACCATTTCCTGATCCCGACAGGATCCTTACAGTCCTTCTCTCCGCAGCCACATGGCCGGGATTGTGACACGGTTGTACCCTCCGGGAGCATCTTGATCGTCTGGTAGGGTTGGGATCCAGGGTCGTAGTACAAGCCGTCAATCTCCCCTGTCAGACGGTTCAGGGCGATGTAGTAGAAGCCCGCAATCGTCAGTCCCCACGATGCAGGTCCGCCAATATTGGCCCCGGTCGACCGCCCTGTCGATCGCCCTGTCGATTGCCCTGTGCGCGAGGTAGGCGTGGTGAAGACAGGCCTCGTAGAGCTGTCCGGAGGGTCCACGAAACATTGTTCCTTCCAGCGCATTAGAATCCACTCCTTGCCCAGCTTCTCTTCAATCCACTTAGCACTGCTCAAGCTGCGAGCTATAATCTCGTCCGCTTCCGCTTCCTTGTCCTCAGGAGTCTCGAAAACTTTGGTGGGAGAGTCGTCGACGGTCGTGTCGTCTGTGGCAGGGGAGTCTGCGTTGGAGGGATCTTGAGCATCTTTGTGCGCATCTTCCCCTGCAGCCGCCTTCCGAAACGCGTCCCAGAGCGCGCTGCTCTGTTGATACTCGGTCCTTTTTTTCCCACGCAAATGTCGGATTCGGTCAATCTCTTTGCTAAAAGGCCCCAGACGTCCCCAGTATCTCGCATCCACATCGACGCCGCCCACTTCGTAGTCTCGGCCCTCTTTCTCCGTCTCCAGGGGTTGTCGTCGGAAATCGATGATCTCTCCCACGAAAAAACTGGACATGCTGGTGAGTGTGTCTGAGGTTGTGCCTTGAGGTTGTCGGGCACCGGATTGGTACAAAGAAGAAGGCTTTTCCGGCATCTGGCTGGCGGACATGATTCCAGTCACGGTCATGGCTTCCCAGTCAACGGAATGGATCACAACCTTTACCGGCCAGTGATCAGGCTCGGGCGGTTGAGAAGTGGTGTGCAGAGGATTGGAGTACGGCGATGAGGTCCATCGGCCGTTGCTCTCATGCCTGATCAAGTCGGAGAGATAGCGCTCTGCGGTTAGCAGGGCCTGGGTGTCAAATTCCGCAGCCTCATCGCTGCCGCCAGTGCCGCGAGAAGCTCCTCCCCGTCGAGCTATGGTTCGGCGAATCAGAGCGCGCTGTCTTTCACGACGAATATTTGCAGCCGTGGAAGGAAGCGTCCGAACAGGTTGGCGGTCGGTAGACTGGAGGCCATGCCACACCATTCCGGCTGTTAACCAAGAGCTGTACTGTGGAATTGGGAGGCTGTTAATGTGCATGGGAAGGTCGCTCGGGGCATTGGAGTCGTCTGACGCGTACAAGGAATCAAGGCCCAGTTTTCTAGCTGCCTCGAGACCACCTTCTATGCCGGTATGTCGTAACCGGGAGAGATAGCAGATCAATTTCCTCACCCGCTTTCTTGCGTCGGATCGTTGCGCATCAATTGACGCCGCAGATCGAGACCCAGCAGGCCCCTGGACGTTTTGCGCGCGTCTTGAGACAGCTTCTCTTCGCTGGGCAGAGGAAAGTCCTGCTAAACTGGGTATTGTGACAGCCAATCCCTCGTCAGTTTCTTCATTCCAGAGGGCTCGCAAAGCACTGGCAGTGGGTACCGTGCCCATATCCGAGCCTCTGGAAAGCCCCCAGGCGCCACGATTTGATCTATATCGCTGCAGAATACCTTCGAGCTGAAGAAAATGGGTCCTTGTATTGGTGCTGGAGCTCAGGTCTGCTGCCATCCTGAGAGGTAGAATATCGGCATCGCTGTCATCGGAATCTTGTGGTATTGTCGACATGGATCTGTAACCAAGCGGGCGCGATGGATAAAGTGAGGCAGGCTCCAGGTCAAGATCAGCAGTCGACCCAAGTAATTGGTGGTTGTCTTCTGTTACTGGACCTGACATTTCGGGGAGCCGGAAAACATATTGGATTGGCGGACGCCTTCCCGACTGTTCGTTATTCATGGATCCTCGTGTCTGACTCTCAGCAGACCACTCTCCATCCTCTGCATGTGTGGACAAAATCATGTCAATGCCAGCTCGCCCTGGAGCAGGACCTTGAGCCTCGCTGGGCTGAGGCTGAGGCTGATCTGCCCATTCCTCGTTTTGTGCATCGCGATCAGTCGAGTTGAGATTAAGGGTAGAGGCGAGATCCGGAACAGGAGTGGCGATGGCTTCTTCGAGTTGTCGCAGATAGGTATTGGGAGGAGGAGTCGAGGGGCGGGTGTCCTGCGCGTGAATGAACATGGTTAGTCAAAGTGTACACCCCGAGAAATGCAGTTAGTTCATGGGGAGAAAATGGGCAGGTGTGCTTTCTGCGGTATTCCTTCAGAGAGAAGACTTCACTTCAGGCTCTCACTTGTCTGCAACTACACGAGTCGATGCGGCGGACAAGGACTTACAGAGGGTGAGTTTGCAGGCGGCATCAGGCGGAGAGGAGAGAGAGCAGATCGCCGTCAAGAGTTTCAGTCCAACTCATCAGCTATCAGAGGAGACGCAACCGAATAGTAGCGTAGAGTAGGAGACTGGAATAGCAGATGATCGATTCATCGATTCCCAAGAGCAGAAGAGAAGGGGAGATGTTGATCATTGATGCAAGATATGGGGCGGTTGGACGGTTGAGCGGTTGGTCAACGTTTGGCCATCCCCATCCCAAGCCCAAGCCCAACCCAAAGACCCTCTTTGCCTCTGCCCCCAGATCCCTTGCCTTACCACCATTCACTCCACTTTGTCCTCCCTTTCTTTTCTCTCCCGATCTCCAGATTGCCGAGTGATGTTGCTGCCCGCCCTCTCGCCTCCTAGCAGCTAGTACGAGGGCGCGCACCGAAAGTACTATATGCGCTAATTCAAATGACGAATATTACTTACTATGAAAGGACATTTTCTGAGCTTGTAGGCACTCTTACCTATCTCTTAGCTATAAGTCAGATCTAATAGGCGGCCACCTAGCCTGTATTTCCAGTCTTGCTAAGCGCTATAGGCGTTAAGTATTGAGCTCCGATATCTTCGGGGCCATTGTGATGGGCAACGAAAACAAAGTCTATCGTCTTTTGATCATCTTGTCATTCTCTTACTAGCGTTAACATTAGTCGACCTCCTTACTTTTGCCGTTGCCTGTTTCATAATCACGATTGTCCACTGGATCTAGACCCCCTTGGCTTCATCTGCTGGCTGGCGGCGGCGGCGGCGGTTCTGGAGATGACCGAGGGGAGGCATACCCTATTTGTCCCCAACTACCCACTGATCCTACAATCAAGCCGAGCATGCGGGAGCTTAACCGCGGGTTGGACTCAAGACGCAGATCCTTGCAATTGATAAAAGACATCAGAAAATAACCATCGAGGCGACATCACCAAGCTCGTCGATGGGGAGTATTACAGTTGATGTTGTCACTTCTGGCGCTCTCGAGTCCAAACGTCGCTGATGCACTCCCTGCCTCGAAAAGCGTGGAGAGTTTCATCGAATGGCTGGGCAAGGTGCAGGAGACGGACAGATAGACACACACAAATACACTCCTACGCATTGCCTATGGACTCTTTCATGGCAATCAACAATGTTTTGTTCCATAGGAAAGAACACTTGATTCATCACTCCGCGCACACAGGATCTACAGCTCTCCTCAAAGAACCTCAAAGAAATCTCCACCATCAGGAGGTCCTTCTGTGAAGATATGCTTGCCCAAGACTACAGCTGTGCTAGACATCGTCATGATGACAGTTTTCTCCTACTGTCCTCAATGCATATCCCACCATCTGGCCAAATGTAGCCCGAGGTTTGGATCGGTCAAACTCTTCCACAGTTGGTGTTGGGCAAGTCGACGTTGATGTAGGGGTAAGGCCGGAACAATGGGGGAAGGATGCGTGGGAGCGAGTGAGCAAACAATCTCGATCGATTCTTTTTCTGGGCTATAAACTCCTGCTCTGCAATTTATGACAGTATCAAACTTCACTCACGCATATACATCTGTCACTAAAGGAGAGAGTTTGCTGGGTGCGGCAGTGAGCGTTGATTGGTCACAAAGGGCGCACCCGCCGCGTGCCTGCAGGGTGCGAGCGCGTTCAGAAGCGCAGCCCATTCTGCGCTTTTGCGCATCTGCCCTTCTATTAAACTCAGCTTCTTCCACTGTGACATTGTATGCTGATTGATTGAACTGTGCAAATCTTTGCCGGCTGGTTCCAGGAACAATTTCCTGTCGGATATTTTTGACTCCGCGAACGTTTCTTCCTTCCGTTAGCAACTGGTAGAACTTGCAGAGCTGGCTGTGAGAGCAGCGTGACAACCACCCCACAAGACACCCAACAGGGCAAAGCGACCTGTTCCCTCACCCTGGGTGTTTGGCTCATCAGTCATCAATCCGCGTCTATGCCTTTCACACTCTCAGATCTGCTCAACCCCGAACCCACGACCAACACCGGTTCTGCAAATGGTGTAGCTCCCAACACTGTGTCGCATGGGTGAGATCAAACTCCTTCGACTGCTGGGCCGAGTTTTTCGTCTAATTTTCCCCCAGAATGGACGCTTCTGCCGAGGACGCTCCCTCAGCGTTCTTCGCGCCCGAACTTTTCCAGCCTAGCGATGATGCGCCGCATCCTCAAGATGTCCTTCCCCCAAGCGTGCAAAACGATGACACTCCGATGGATGATGTCTCCCTCTTTAAGGAGAGCGAGCATCTGGACGGCTTCGATGGGTCAAATGATGAAGATCATATCAAGGAGGAGGCAATGGACATGGGCTATCCTCCCTTGGACGAGGAGTCACATATTGCGGTCGATTCTTCCCTCATCGATATGGTAGAAGAAAGTCTTTACAGCGAAGACGCTCCCACGAAAACGACGCCGGACAAGGGTCAGAAACAACGAAAACATCCTGGCAAGTCGAGGAAGACTGATCCAGGCGCTCCACCTCGCTCATCGATTCACTCGTCCAAGAACGAAGGCCAGCACACAGATCGCAGATATTTGTGCTACTTGTGCAATAAACTTTTCACAAGACGCCGGTCTGTGAGAGATCACATTTCGAAGATACACAACACCAAAACTTGGGAGCCGTTGCGCAGCTTGGAAATCATTGTCGAGCCTACAACTGGAGAGCCTATCGAATCACTCGAGGAAATCATCGCTCGAGGTCCGCCTCCTCCCCCTTCCAAGTCAAGAAAGGCGGAAAAAGCTCAGAGGGCATCAAAACGGGAAGAAGAAGAGGACGAGGAGGAGCTCGGCCCGGGAGATATTGGCGAGGAAGAAGAGGCACCAGATGATCAGCAAGATGATGATTTATTCGGGGCACATCCTGTGGTGGACTCGTCGCTAGTACCCGTCAGTACCGTCGCAGCTTTGAAGCGGGCGCCATCCATCGCAGGGTCAAGAGCATCGTCCACGGAACCGTTTGCCACTCCAGCACCCATCGCGGGAAGAAAGCGACCGGCCCCTGATGACTCTGGAAAACACCTTTCCGCAGCAGCTAGGAAGAAAGGCACAGCCAAGGTCAAAAGCACGTCGAATAAGAGGGCGAAACTCAATGAGTCCGAGCAAAGCCCACCTGCGGCAAGGTCGAGTTTCCGCTCTCCCAGTGCCACGCCCAGCACGAACCACCTCAAGCTGGGCCCCTCGAAACTGAAAACCCAAACTTCGGCTGCCAGTGTAAAGTCATCACCCACACCCGCTTCTTCCCGAGCGGCATCGCGAGACATTGGCTCTCCGTCACCTTCAATTGCAGATACGGCGTCCAGCTCAAACGATGACGGTGAGGTATTCTGCATCTGCCGGAAAGGAGATAACCACACATGGATGATCGCTTGTGATGGTGGTTGCGACGAGTGGTTCCATGGGAATTGTGTGAATATCAAGGAACGAGACGGCGAATTGATCGACAAGTACATTTGCCCTTCTTGTACGAAGCCTGGCCTGCAGACCACGTGGAAGCGAATGTGCCGACGCAAAGATTGCAGGAAACCTGCGCGTGTCACCCAGGTCCCGCCCAGCAAATACTGCTCCGATGCCTGTGGGCGCATGTTCTTTGTGGAGCTGGTGCAGAGAGGCGACCCTCAGGCCCAGATCAGTAAGGATGGTCAGTATGTCATAGAAGGACCACCTCTCAAAAAACACCGGAAGAAGCAGAAGACGAAAGAGAAACCTGCGAAGCCGCCCCTCAACCTTGTCAATGGTGTAGATCCTGACAGTCGACTCGCGACACCAGCATATAGCGACGACGAAAGGACAGAATATGAGACCGACAGCAGTCTCGACGATGATATGCTTCCCAACCGAGGCTCTGCATTGCGAGCTGGCGAGATCAAAGCCCTGGTCGAGAAATGCAAGGATATTGAGCAACTAAAGGCCTTGGGCAGGAAACCTGACACCCCACCCCGCGACATTGAGATGACGGGAACGGAGTCAAAGCCAACACTCCCAGATTTGGAATACGATGACCTGGAGACGACCAAAATGGCCAATATTATAGCAGAGAAACAACGACTAAAGGTGCGGTATGACATGCTTGTCGCGCGAGAAAAGTTCTTGGAGCTAGTCAAAACACGATCATCGACCATTGTCGACGAAGCTCGAAAGACACACCCGAAGATGAAAGATTTTTGTGGATTCGATCCCAGGATGGCGTGGTCTGACGAGGAGTTTATGATATGGTATGACCAAAACGGCGGGCGGGCAATCATCGACGCTGGAGCGGACGCGAGGATCGGTCCGCCTGAAGAGATAGCCACTGATGACGGAAATACTAAACTCCCCAATGGCGTCGCTCAGCACAACCCAAGTCCAGTCGAAGATGGGGAAGAACAGGAAACTGACAACATGCCGAGAAAGGGCGGCGTCTGTATTAGGAATCGATGTCCTCGACATCGAAATTGGGCCAAGGGACAGCTTGCCGAAATGCGTTTCGAACAAGATCTTGTCAGAAGGTCAATCCAGAGGCTCGAGGTACAGGAAGGGGAAATCAGGGACAGGGCGGTTGTCAGGGCTTGGGAGAAGAGAGGATGAGCCACTGATGAATTGGAGGCCATGGCATGATGACGTGAAACCGCGATACACAGTTCAGTCGCTCACATTCTCTGTCTATATGGTCTCCAAAGAACAGAGGTAGCATGAGCTAAGGTGGTACTGGAGGGTGCGAACATGTCCAGGACCAATACAGAAGCTGTGAAGAAGCCAGTCATACAAATCGAGAAATGATACGACGATGAAGTCACTCTTGACACCCGTACTATCAATGCGGTATTGTTATCTTGTGCCCGGAGTAAGTAGTCAAGCACTTGCGACTGATACCTTGTATCGACCTATGCGTATAAACCTGAAGCCACTGGGGGCTTCTAAAGTTTGTCCTAACCTTATTGGGAAGGTAAGTCGCCATATCTGGAAGTCCCAAAGAAACCTTTAGGCTGTCGTGGACAGCATTGATTCCAGGGACGTGAGGGACGTGAGCGACGAAACACTTTGAGTGAAAGGTAGTGTGCGTGTCTGTTGTCTTTGAATAAGAGCAGCGCAGGCCCAGATCATACGGCGACACAAGGGGCTTCTTGTGGCAGGGCCCTGACCCTTGGTTTGACAGGTGCAGGGAGAATGAAAGACCCACCGCAAAAGGACAGGTAGAAATGCCACACACTTGGCTCTCCCCTACCAGCAGCGAGCCGGGCAAGAGTGACAGTATCAAAGTTGGGATCTGAAATCATGGCGCCAGGATATCAGATGAGCGCGGCAGAAGTAATCCAGGACGACATCAAACCTGAGCTGCGATACCAATTCTTTGGCGAGGGTATCTTCACCCAAGATGGACTGGCGTGGAAGCAGTCGCGAGAAATGCTCCGACGACAATTCACACGGGTCCAAGCGAGGGACCTGGGGACCTTCATTTGGATCTCTATCCAGAGTTCCGTGATCGGCATGGTATTACCAATCTCCCCCTTTTGGTTCAACTCAGCCAGGCAAGATATCGACCAGGGCGAAGATGGAGAGAGGAGAGAGAGAGATAATAGAAATGCAATTGAACCAAACGATCCTCCTCAGCACAATGTGCCTCGTACGATCTAACCAAGTTTCTAACTTTTAACTTGTCTAGTATCCTAAAGTTCTCTTCCATTATGATGAGACTGTATTTATACTCCTTTGGACATTTGCATACATACACCTTCTCCAGAGCACGAGTGCGTTATTGTTAGCAGTTCGGTGCTCGTGACTCTCAACCTACGCGAAACTTGGTTCGGGTCGATCTTTGACCATTTTGTTTTTTTTTTTCCCATCATTTACAAGCAACTACCTATGTACATAGAATAGAGACGTCGGGGGAGAGAGCCGGTCTTTTGTCGACTGACATTGACAACACCCAGCGACTGTACGAGGCTACATGATCATCGTGGCCAACCGGAGCTGGCACCGACGAGGCTCTTTGGAAAGAGTACTGATTTTTCGAACCCTCCCGGAGCTAGATACAGAGAGGCCGCCCATACCTGGTTCACTCGCCCGTCATGCACATTCGTAAGACGTCCAATCGTTCTGGTTCTTACCCACCAGTTTTGCAGTCTTTGGCCACGAACACAGTTTCCTCGTAATGTTGGCTCGGCTGGGAGGACTCGAACTCTGCATGCCGACAGGGGTGACCCCTTTCTCCACCCACGGCATCAACGCGTCCAAAACGTGGTATGTCGTAGGAACGTTCGGGTACGCGGGAGACGGACCGCAGTGGCCAGCGCCGGGAACCATGAAGAGGCGATAAAAGTCCGAGGCGTCGCCGGCCACACCTGGTTGGCCGCTAAGGAACGTGTTGATTTGCTTCAAGTGCTCGATCGGCCACGTCGCGGCATTGTACTGGTCTGCCCAGCCCTGGGTGGTGATCATCTTGGCACCACGCCGGCGGAAGGAAAGGAGATCGGGTGAGATTTCATCAATGTACGGGGAGGCATTGGCGTTGACCGCATCAATGTCGGCGCTGCTGAAGGAGAATGATTTGTAGTCATATGTCAGATTCTTGAACACCAAGTTCTGCAAGATAGGGATGGCGTAGGCCAGGGCGAGCGACGACTCCTGTGCCATCCATCCACTCTCGGATCCAAAGTCGAACCCAGGGTACACTTGCATGCCGGTATTGGGTTCTGTGGGCCCTTGGCGAAAAGCCTTGTATGTGGTGACCTGTTCTGGAGTGATACACTGAACAGATCCATTCTTGGCCTTGGGCTCCTGACCTTGGCCACATTGCAGAGCCGTGATTTTGAAGGTGCACTTCAGGGGGTTTTCGATGAGACCGTCTCGCACACCATCAATTTCATCGCAATGAGCCACTGTCGCGTTCGTGACGAAGTTCAAGGTCTCTGCGTCCATGAACGAGGCGTTCTGCGCTTGGGCATGGTTGTAATTCCAGAGGAAACTAAGAATCAAGTGGCTGTACCAGTTTCCAGGGCTACCGGCGTAGATTCCGTCAAACATCTCAGGATGATATTGGGCGAGCGCAAATCCTTGCGCGCCGCCTGTCGAGCAACCGTAATAGTAGGAATAAGATGGCGATTTGCCGTAGTATAGTGTTGTCAGCTGGCGGGTGGGCGGCGTCAGGGCAGCGATGGAATTGTGAAGCCAGGCCGTCACTTGTGGGATGCTGTTCAAAAAGGGCACAAATGAGCCAGGCGATGCAACGGCTGGCCCATCTTCAGCCAAGGTATGACCAGAATCTCCCCCAGCCACGGCGAAACCAGCTTCGAGCTGGGTCAACATAGCCTGATAGTCAATCGTTCCCGCCAATCCTCCGTTACCTATTCATTGCCTCATTAGCAAACATGGTCCGAAACCAGCCGACATACATTGGACCTACCAACAGCGATATATCTGCCGTTCCATTGCTTGGTTGAAGGAAGCCAAAGCTCAACGCTGACAGTGTGGTTGAGATCATATGCGACCTCTCCCTGTATACGGCACACATCCGTCAGAGTCGTGGTCGGCACTACCGTGGTATTAAGAGACTGTGCTATGAATTGAGCAATGGCCTGGCCATTCACCAAGCTCGCATTAGCGATACTCAAGGTTGTCGAATGACCAAGTTGCCCGGCAATGTCAGCACATGATGTCGACTGGGCAGTCGACAAGCCGAGTAGGAGGGACTCCAATGCTAGGCCAACGAGGTGAGAGAAGCGCATGGTGGGTGTTGTTAGAAGACAGCTTTCCCGTCTTCCTCTTTCCTTTTAATTCTCCAACTCCTCCAGGACATAACCCAGCCACTTCGTCTTTGTCACCAGGAACGGGATTGCCCCCGGCCAATGTGGCCATTCACCGTCTTTTCGGCAGCCACTGACCGACACAAAGTTGACCGAACTTCCCTGCCAACGTTGAGCTGCCAGGACGGCTCTCCAATATTGCTGCAGCTTCAATCCTCAAAGTGACCAACTCAGAGCTGGGGACGCAGGCAGGCCGGGGTAGTGGTGAATTAGCGGGAACGTTCTTGTCATTGTCGTTCGGCCTCGATGACCGCTCATATTTGGGGATCGGGCATCTTGTCCGATGGACAGTGAGCACTCCGAAGATCAAGAGCAATCCCGGGGCCCCAACCTAACCTGGATCATCTCGCGAGGGCGTCCTGGGGGGAAGGGAGAGTGGAATAGCAGAGCATTCTGACCAGTGTGCTCATGGGTTGTGACTGATTGGAAGGGCATGATGGTCTTCCAGAAGTGATAGTTGCGGGAGTATGGAAGATTGACTTGACGACTCTGTCGTGACCAGAATAAACGGTCTTTACATGTCTTGGCTGTCATTCCAAATCCTCTGCATTGCGAGTCTCCTGGCTTCTCCTGTAACATCCCTGGACATCCAACTTCCGAACTGTCAAAGAGGATGTAGCTTGTCCCATGCGCCTCCTGGAAAAGGTGCGGCGCAAGTTCCTGATGGTTTGCTACCACAGTCGACCACAAAGGTTTGCGGCAAGACTCAGCTTATTCAATCTCCCTCAAACGACCTGTCCTAGCGACCTATTCTACCACAGCCTTTCTCTGCCTTCCGCATGATCTGCAGCTTTTCGGCTCTGATACAACAGGACTAAGCCGGCAGAGACTTCCAGCACGATCAACATTGATTCCGCCTTCATACGCCGACCAGCTTGCTTGCTGGAACGGGCTCCCTGCCGTCACCTGCCTACTCACTGTGAGCTCCGGTGCTCTTCTCACTCTCGACCACGGTGGTTTGTCCCGTTCCTTTACCTTCCTCAATGGCCTGCTGCACCGGTTCAACCCGTCGCCGGGGCATGTGCTTCGCCACTCGGACTGGGTCAAAAATGCTGTGACTTTGGATGAAGATTTCGTCCACCTCTTCCAAAGACTTACCCGCCGTCTCCGGCCAGAAAAAGTAGACACCTGCGCCATTCTGTTAGTCAACAAAATCCAAAGACTAGCTGACTGGTGTCAATGTCGGAATGAAAATACTTACAAGGCAAGATCAATAACAAATTAATACAGGCGTAAATGATAAAGTATCGGTAGTTGAGGGTTGCAAATCCCACGGGGGTGATCTCGGCGACAAGAAAGTTGAACGCCCATGCTGTACCCGTCGAAATACTGGTGATTGGCACTCGAACACTGAGAGGCGCGATCTCGCTTGCATACAAGAAGGTGAGACCCAAAAAGCCTGCAGAATGTTAGCTGAAGCAAACCCAAGAAGCGGGAAGCATTACCTGTTGGGAAAAACAGTCCAAACAAAAAGATCGTCAGAGCTGCCACAATTTGAGCCGCCTCGTTGGTTGGATCAGACACAGTTCCGGTCATGATGACCAAGCAGCATCCCATGCCCACCGCCGCAAATATCATCAGTTTGCGTCGGCCAAATCGATCGACCGTGAGCACACCAATGGGTGAACACAGAGTTTGGAACGAGAAGACGGATGCAGCAAGAATCTGCGAGTCTTTGGCTGGGAGCTTCAAGTACTGACTGTACAGCGTCGGCAGATAGAATGCTAGCGCATTGATGCCGCACATTTGTTGAAAGACCTGGCCCGCAGCTGCTAGGCATGCTCGATGAAACAGACGCTGCTCGCCGTTCTTGAAGATGTCTCGGAAGCGAGCTGAACCGGTAAGTCGCAGGGACTCCTCGATGCGCGCTACGTCGGTCTCGATTTTGTTGGAGTCCTCGGGAAGGTCTTCCAGCGCGGCGAGGACATGTTTAGCTTCTTCCAATCTTCCCTTTTTGATGAGCCATCGGGGCGATTCTGGCATTTGGGACATGGTTCCGACGACAATGATGGATAACAAGCCCGTCAACGCCAACGGAAATCTCCAGGCGACGCTCCCAGAGGCATGCGAAATGCCAAAACCGATCCATCCTTGTAGAGCCAGGCCGAAGCTGATAAAGACGGATTCGAGCAAGACCACGGAACCACGGTGCTCCGCGCTTGAGCATTCACTCTGCCAGTTGGGCGCTGTGGCAGTCAATGCCCCGAAACCGAGACCAGCCACAAGCCGCCCGACAATCAATTGACCTAGGGAATAGGACGAAGACTGGATGACAGCCCCAAATGTGTGAACCAACGCTCCCAGCATGATGGTTCTCTTCCGTCCGAGCTTGTCGCCAAGGACGATACAAGAAAGCGCACCAAAGAGGGCCCCGAGAGTGTACAAGGCTATGACGGTGCCCTGGACTCGGCTGTTTTCCGTCTTTTTGGAACCGGTTGTGTTGACGGTGTCGATACGAGGGAACACTGAAACCCAGCTGGGCAAGTCCACGAGACTTCCACCCACACCATTGTTGAAGCCAAACCTGTTGGGGTCAGCCAGAATCCAGATGGTTGTTTGATCATGCCGAGTGTAACTCACAGTATGTACGCGGGCATGATCACAGCCCAGATCAGGGCTGCGTTCAGCTTTGAACCACGCAATCCAAAGTATTTCGCCATGTTGATATCGACCTGCTGTCAGAAGAACGGCATGAATGCTTTCCACGCATGGAGAGTCGAAGGCGAGCAGTCTAAATACTGTCACGCACGGCGTTAGTCCTCGGTGGCGGAAATTTCCTACCTATCCTGTGTCTACGATGGGCAGATCATCGTCGGCATCCGGCCCGCAGACCTATACTCGCATGACCGGCAAAGAGAATCCCATGCGGGATGCTCCACGCTCAACTCCGTGGTTCTCTCCTGATCAGCCATTCTCCTCATTCAAGCCGCCTCGAGTCGCAGGGTTTGGCAGATCTTTGGGGTGGAGACGAAAAAAAACGAAGCGCTCCCTGTATTTGGTCCAAGAACTAAAGCCTACTTTACATTTGCTTGGTGGTAGGACCGGCGAATGACCGACAGACCCAAGACCAATCTTAGGGTGCGCCACAATGCTTCATTCAACCACGCCGCTCACCCCTTAGCAACTCCGCATGCCGCAGTTGTGCCAATGACCAATAAGCGAAATGCTTACCGAGGCGGCATGGCATCTACCAACCTAAATAGGGCTTGCTTGTACGAGTACCGGTCGATGACGAGGACCAGCGAGACCGCGTCAATGCAACGAGAACTCATCCCCCACGACCACCCTCAGGTGCTCGTGGCAATGGACTCTCTCACTCTGTTGTTCAGCTCTCAACCCTCCACTTGACCTGAGGGTGCCACTGCCTTTCGACTGGAACTTTTTGCAAATAGCAGGGGACTTCCTGTGACCCGCAGGCGACAGCCTTCAGAGCAGCTAACACTGGATATTGGAGGGTTCAACTGCAAAATTTTCCGCATCCAGCTAGTGTTGCAACAACCACCCACGACTAATCGTAAACTTGACTCCATTTATTTGCGGCGGTATCGAGACGACTCTGGCCTCTGTCCGAAGGGGTTTCCTTCCAGCGAGACCCAGATCCCAGATCAACCTGATCTGGTCCAATGTCGCCCGAACCATCAACTCGACCCGGAGCTTGCGAACGTTGTCACCGTCGAAAAGCAAGATGTGACAAGACCCGCCCAGCCTGCTCCTCATGCATCAAGGCCAACAAAGCATGTGTTTACACCGCCAAGGAGGGTGCCATTCGTCGACAAGATCTGGAACGAGTCCAGCAGCGAGTGCGTCAGCTCGAGGCGAGGAACAAAGATCTTGTCAATCAGCTTAGCCGAAGCCAGAACCAACCATCTCCAGAGAATCCTCCATCAATGTCGGTGGACTCTGCGTTGAATACTTCGGGCAGCAGCGATGAAGTGGTCAACCAGGTGTCATATCTGTCTTTGAGTGCAGGAGGTGACCGTCAATTCCTAGGCTCAACCAGTGGCCTGTTGCTCGCCAATCTCTTACAGAAGAATCTACAGACATCCTTTCCACTTATCGCCAACTCTGAGGCACGTGCTCATGAGCAAAGGCCAGCGCTCGGTAAAGGGGCCGCCCCTGTGGCCCACGCCTCCAGTCGGCCACCTCAAGATGTGGCACGAGGACTCTTGATCGCATATTGCAACCATGATCATATTTGCTATCCTTTTCTCGATCCCAAAACACTACATGCCGCGCTGGATGCCATCTACAGCGAGGAGTCCTACTCAGTCTACCATCCTGTAGAATCCTTCTTCATCGACATGATCCTCGCCATCGGTACGGCTCAGGTCTACAAATTCGACTGGCTTAATTTGCCCGACGCAGAAACGCACTATAATCGCGCCATCACCCATCTTCCGGTTGTCCTTGGCGCTGGTGGGATTTTGTCACTTCAGGCGACCTTGCTCATTGCTCAATATCGGATGGGAAGCTCACTGTATGATACGTCGGCGAGTCTATGGCATCTCGTCGGAGTTGCCGCACGAATGTGTTTTGAACTGGGATTGCACAAAAAGTCAACCTATGTCTCGCCGCAAAGTGGGAATGTCGCCGTGGACCAGGTTCAGAGAGAAAAGATGGAGATGATGCGGCGATGCTTTTGGTGTGTGGTCGCCATGGACCGCATCGTCAGTTTCACCCTGGGAAGGCCCCTTGCTGTTCAGCTGGACGACGTTGATGCCGAACTGCCGCAGCTTGACGCGACCGATGCTACAGAGATGGCCAACGGTGCCTTCTCTGACGAGTCTATAGAGGCACCACTGAGTGATCAACGTCTTGCTCTCTTCAACCACATTGTACGCTACCGCCTCATTTGTGGGAAGATTTTAATCTCTCTCCATAGGGATACGCGGCCTGTCGGCGCCACGATTGATTACTTCAAGATTCGAGAGGAGTTGTCTCATGAATTGAGGACGTGGCACCGCGAAACAAGTGCTTTGCCCTTCCTAGCTCTGGATGCAATACTTGATCCGCCCAATACCTCAAGCTTTCGATCACGCGAATGGTACGACCTGCTCTATCACAACGGGATCTTGATGTTGTTTCGTCCATCACCTACACTCTCGGACGCATCCAGCAATAGCGTGACCCTCCAGCACATTTTTGAATCTTCGCAGGCCGCTATCAATCTTTATGCCGAGCTTCATCGATCGCGCAAAATCAATTACTCATGGGTCACTCTACATGCGGTGTTCATGGCTGGTATTTCGTATATTTATGCACTTCGATGTCACGTCCAAAACACCTGGCGTCAGCCTTCTCCGACCAATTATCCCCGCGCAAAGCTTCACTCCAGTCCGACCATTCAGAAAGTCGTCAATGACACCCGCGCCTGTTCCAATGTCCTTGTCGCAGTCTCGGAGCGTTGGAGCACAGCCCGGAGTTGTTCGCGCGTTTTCGACCGCTTGAGCGACGCTGTCCTCGCAGACATTATAGAGACACAGACTCGCAAGCCTGCGACCCCCATCGCTGAGCCCGTTCACCAGCAACGAATAGGGAATGTACCCATACTGGGTTCGGCAATATCAATGGACCTCCCCACACCAGACAACGATCAAACATGGGCCGCGAGTTTCAACCACATGGCAGTCGACAGCACGCTGCAGGATTGCTTTGATGACCTGCAAAGTTGGTGTAATGACCAATACGGTGGCGATGCCATTGCCCAGCTCTCGCAAAATTGGCTGTTTGGCATCCAAGACCCTAGTAGTGCAGCCTTTTAGAAGCAAGCAACCGCATTCGCTTCTTTGGGTAGCAGATCCATGTGAGAAGCTGTAATGACTCCTTGAAGCAGAAGACAAATATAACTTTGGCCAGTATTTCGATCTATCGACTGTGTTGCGATACGCTATGGCTTCAAATCCAGCCTCTCTGGAGGAAGCGTATGGGAATCTCGGCAGATCTGCTTCTGAGATACTCAGCAATGCCCTTTCCGAGCCCATCAATTCGGTCCGACGACGCGATCCCGCCATTCAAGTTGTCGAGAACTCGGCTATCATTTCAATTCGTACAACCCGAAGAAGTATTGAGCAGAAAAAAGGACGGAAGGACCCACAAATGAACCGCATTTATCCCGGGAAATTCAACTCGCTCCACCCGTCGATCAGGATTCCCTTTCTGCCAGTCGTCACCGAACAATTCCTTCAAGCGTGAAACGGTCAAGTAGGTTTTAAGCCAAGGGTATTCATCATCGTGGCGGACAAAAAAGCCAATGTTGGAATTGTCGGCCTTGTCGCCAGATCGCGCATGAACAATGCTTCCAAAAGGTGCCTTTTTAGTTGGTCCCAGAGATTGAAGATCGATAGGATCTTCCGTGTCAGAAGAGGGACGCATCACAGGGTACTCGACCGTCTTTTGCGGTGGATCAACCTTGATTTGCTGTCCAGTGCTGAGGACAACACGATGATCGATCATGGAAAGTGGCATGACTACGGGAAAGATCTCCATAAATGGTCTGGGGTCCATGGTTCGAAAGTCCAGGTTCATGTGGTAACCAGGATAACTTTGCATGCGAAGGGCATAGATTGAAATCTTGAATGATGGAGCCTCGATATCGGCCTTGTTCCTGGCTTGAGCAAACACTCGCAGTTGCACGGTGCCTCCCTGTTGCGATCGCGGATTGTCCACCTGGGAGCCGTACTGCTCCACGCTGAATCGACTGAACTTGTTTCCCTTCAAAATGTGGTCCAACTGTTGACGCATCATGGCCACTTTGGCTTCCACGTCCAATCCGTTGATGTAAAAGGTCACTTCAGCCTGGTATCATCCTGGAACGGCGACCATGACCTTTGTCGTTGCGGGCGGCGGTATGAGGTGCGCCGCGAGTAACGAGCCTGCTAACTCGGTGTACTGGTCCTCGCGCCAGCCGAAATACCAGGCGGCGGCTCCCATGACGGGGGAAGCATCGGTACATCACCCACAGATGACAATGTTCGCTCCAGCTTCTAGGGCTTTGACAATACCACGACAGCCGAAGTACGCGTTGGCGCAGATAGGATCCAGGGACCATTCGTCAAGGAGCCGGTCCTGGTGATCGAGATGGGGGAAATGCAAAGAACGCCTCTTGCTGGGATCAGTGACCAAGTCCGAGACATCGTCGCCCAAAATTGCAGCGACCACCGTATCCTTGTATCCTCTTTCCACACAGAGCGCTTGGACCTTGCGGAACAGACTCATTGTGTTCAAGGCGCCTGCGTTCGTGGCCACTTTGATATCCTGCTCCATGATCTGGTCGAGGCATTCTTCCAGCTGAAGGTAAAAGCCGTTCTCGTAGCCCAGATCAGGGTCGACGTCTCGTTTTGTGATGGCGTTCCAGGCGATGCTCATCTCAGACAGCCGGTCCCCGGTAATTACATCGACGCCGCCCGGCTCAACCATGCGCTTCATAGCATGCGGATGGTCGCCCGTAGCGCCTGAGACATTGCCAATACGGATCGGTGGTTTGCTCAGCATCCTGGGTGTAGAGCTCGACTAGGTTTCGTCCTTTGTGTTCCCTTGAGATTGCAAAGAATGACTGATCTCTTTAAAGCCCCGGTCTCTGCGAAGAAAATTTCACCGATGAGGAGTGATGGTAAAGAGTGACCTGGGAATTTTGCGGGAACTTGAGCTGGCCCCCTTCCTTACACATAGACTCCTGAGCCGCCGCCGCCGCGACGACGCGTAATAATAAACATGCGCCACGAGAACAGGATCCGTCCGGTCGGTCAGGGTTTGAAGGGAAATCCAGAGTTGCCGACTTTGGCGGGAAACCCACCCCCCCCCCCCTTCCTTTCGCTTGCTATCTGTCTTTGACAGTTGCATGGAGAGCGGTTTCAAGCGATTCGAAAAACAACAGGGCGTGGGAGGGACCGGTGTGGAGCCAACACGGTCAGGTTTCGGGGTGGCTGGCCGAAGGGGCGGAGTCGAGGCCGAAAACGGGGGATCAGAAGAGGCACCAGACATCAGAGACTATTAGAGACCTCATCAACGTGGCGAGAGAGCGGGGGAGGGTCTGCTCGGCGGGGATATGGATTTTTCCTCTGAATAGTAGGGGGATTCCCCCGTACGAGGCGGACGGGGTGACAGGGTCGGGTATTTTTGACGGTGGTGAGAAGTGGTTGTAGAGGGAGAAGGAGCGGTTGGTATGTACCACTACCGAGTACTGTTTGTATGCAAGCGATTGGACGCGCACTAGATCAGACGGGACTCCACGAGAAGAGGGAATGATAGACAGATTGATCAGGCAGTCAAGCAGTAAAGCAATCAAGGCATGCAGGCGTTGACATGTGGTATATACCTTGTTGAACAGCGGCGTCGGTACTCGGTACCTCGTACATTACATACTCAATACTCATCCACAAGGCTGAGCGAGGCTGGACAAGGCTGCGTTACGACATACGAGAAAGAATATCCCCTTCTCTGGGTTAAAAGTCTACGATGACCTTGGTTTCAATTCCATTGACTATTGGTATTCGGGCAAGGCGGGAATAAAGGGGAGTGGGCTGTATTTTCGACAGCCCTACACCAGAAAAAGCGGAGGATATCATGAAGATGTGGAAGGAAAAGAGGAATTAAAAAAAAATAACAATAATATCATGCTGCCGCCATGCCGACCACTGCGCCATTCGTAGCCTGATCCCCCGCGTCGTCTGCGTCCTTCAGCGACATACGACTGATCTCCTTGGAATCCACCGTCTCGGTCGTCTCCAGTGTGGCTCGTTGAGGCTGCTCGACCATGAACCCGCTGAAGAACTTGTCCATGCTGTCGTAGTCGTCCATGGCGCCGACCCAGCTGACGTACTGGTCGGGTCGTAGGATGACAGCACAGCCGCGGGCGCGGTCGACTCCGTAGTGGGTGTAGGCATCGCCGTAGCCCTCGTGGTAGCTGACGTCGTCGACGTGGATCTTCCAGTAGTCCCAGCCGTCGCGGTCATCCCAGGGGCGGAACGCCGCTGGGAAGTCAAAGATGGTCACATCCTTCCTTTTGGACGAGTGTACCGAGAGTACCTCAATCACCGAGTCGTACCGGCTTCCAGGGGGTGTGAAGCGCTTCAGGAACGACGTCGCGGAACCCAGCTTCTCGCCCAGCGCATCGAGTCGCGCCTTTTGGTCCGGATTCCCGACGATGTCCCCTGCAAACACCACCAGGCGCCACGTGCCATTGCTTTTCAGCAGTTCCTGAAAGTGCCATGGCCGCGCGTCCGCCTGGTTGAGCACCTTGAACGACGGCATGCGCATGCCCACCTGGACGCCGGCTGCCAGGTCCTGGGTACTGATGACACGCAACGTCTGCTCGCCTAGCACCTCTGTGCCATCGCCTTGCTCGGTGCTGTCGCCGGACTTGGCCACGATAACGCTCGCGCCGTAGTCAACGGCCACGCCACTAGCGAAGAGGTTTCCCTTTTCAAAAGCATTCTTGAACTCCTCCATCGAGATGCCTTCTTCGTCCAGCACGTCCTTGGCTGGACGGCCCGAGAAGAGTCGGGAGAAGCGATGGTCGAAGTCGATCAGGTCCTTCGCTATCCTCCGCCGCTCCGACTGGTATGTCTTGAGGATGGTTCGGTTGCTGGTGCCCTTGACAACACTGGCGACTTTCCATCCGAGATTGAACGCTAAGGCAAGTTGATCAGTCGAGACATTTCACCAAAAGGACTAGAGTCATGCTTACCATCTTGCATACTGACGTTCATGCCTTGGCCGGCCTGTGAATGCAGTTAGCTTCAGAGCCACAATACTGGTGGTGGTTTTGGCGTAGGAGTACCTTTGGACTGTGAGTGTGGACGGCGTCGCCCGCCAAAAAGACCCTCTCCTTCAAGCTGAAGCTGTCACCAACACGTTGTCCAATTTGATATGCCGTCCACCAGTCGCAGTATCGGTAGTCAATCTTGTAAGGTCTCATTATCCTCTGTGCACTGGCGAGAATCGTGTCCGGGCTGATTTTGCTCCGATCCGCCCTCTTGCCACCTCCTGCATTCTCCATAGTCGTCAGTTGGATGTAGAGTCTGACCAGCTTGTTCTCTCGTGGGATCACCATCACACTCCCACTGCTCTCACTGTGAATGGCACACCGCATCCGGATGTCGGGGAAGTCGGTGATGGGGATAATGTCGAGCACTCCCCAGATATAGTCGGTGGACTCGCCCTGCAGTTTGAAGCCGAGCTGGTTTCGGACCCAGCTGTGTGCGCCGTCCGCACCGAGCATGTATTTAGCTTTGATCGTCTCCTCTCGGCCCTCCTTCTCCCGTAGCGCCTTTGATCTCTCTAGCAGCTCTTGGGTGTCGTCCGGCGACAAGTTGCTGCGAAACAGCCCATCTTGTAGGCTGGAACCGTTCACACTGGTCGCGGCCTGTTTGGGGGTTGCTTCTAGCTCGCTGAGATGTCGAAGCTTGACGGTGATCGGGTATGCATCGTTGTCTTCGGCGAGACTCTCGTCAAACTCAAATGACACCGGCATGACGCCATGCTCGACCTGAATACCCTGCTCCCAACCCGGCACATTTTGAAGTGTTCTCTTGCTATGTTCGGAAATGGAGTCAAGGAAGAATCGTTCAATGCGGCCCTGGTGGAGGACGACTTGCTGGAAGCGTGAGATGTTTGGGATAGTATCTGGAATACGATCGGAGCGGTGGATGACCCCGGTCTTTGGGTCGGGGTTCCAGAGGCAGATTTCGAGCATGTGGTTTGACTCTATCCAAGCGCGATGTGCGAAATCGAAGCTGTCAAAGATCTCGAGCGTCCGGCATTGAAGTCCATCTGCTTGACCGTTGAAAATCTACCTTTTTGGTTGGTATTCTTGATCAAGCAGAAGTAAAATGGTTTGAACCAGCATGTTATTCACCCACCTTGGTCCCTCTTTTGTCCACTATCCTCGTCCGGATTCCACACCGACTCATCCAGTTGGCCATCATCAGGCCTGCTGGGCCTGCCCCGATGATGAGGACATCAACCTCAGACTGGGGACCTGACGCTGTCGATCCTTGTGCCATAGCGGTAGAGTTTCGGCGTGAATTCAAAGAGCACACAATAAACAATCAGCTATAACCTTCAAAGGTCTGCTCGTCGAAAGAGTATGGCCTGTAGGATGGATCTGAGACATGATATGGGTCAGGAAGGTCTTAAGCATATATATGTTCCACGACGATAGTGTAACCAGTCTTGACAATCCATGTAAGAACCCTCGTGGATCTCGATGTCCAATGAGAACGACTTGTGGGGTAACGAACTCTCGGTTGCGGCACCGGATCAGGGGGGAAATGCTAGGCAGCAAATCCGGGGTTTCAGGCCGCAGGATGAGATGGCATTTGTTTGTGGGTGGCCCTTCCCTTTGGCTACAGAAGTTGGTCATGTTTGGGGTGATGACTAGATCGTGTGATCGGATACTGTACAATCTGAAGGAGGAATTCACTGCCTGCGCTTCAAGGCGGGATGTTTGTTCGCACCCGCGGGTGTCATACACAACACTGCCAACACTAGTATGTAAGGTCATCGGGAATTGTAATGGGGTATCGTGGGTTGTTGTTGTTGTTGCTGATCCGCGCTATGTGTGAAGCTGGAAAGAAACATCATCATGAAGCTGAATTGGTCCTGGTGGTTCTCGTGTCCAAGATGACGTGGGCGGTCGGGCGGTCTAACTTTTCTCCGAGCCTTTGCTTGTACCGAGTACAAGTTGTTCACCGTCGGTAGAGTAGCCAACAGTGCCACCTCAGCTGCATTGAAGGCTCTCTGCATTGCATTGCCAGACCATGCCGCTCACTTCTCTCTACACCGCATGCCGGTGGACAAGGATCCCGGCACTAGGCTGTAATTGTGCTTCGCTAGCGACCTGGAGAACAGCAGGCAATCATTGGTGGACGACCCAACACAACTTAAGAGTACGCACCGTGAGGCTGAGCGTCAATGATGCCTGCGCTGAACTTCACTTCGAATCGTGCTGTCAATGCCGCTGTCATTGAGCGCGATATTTATTCAGATCCTCGTGCTGCCCGAGCCGGCCTCCACCCCGTCTGACTGCCTCCAGATGTCGATATGAACCCTGATGTGCGACCCCCTCGGCCCCGTAGCCGCGATGACTTCGAGATCGCCATCATCTGTGCCTTGGTTCTGGAGCGGAATGCTGTGGAGGCGCTTCTAGAAGAAGAATATGAGACCCATGGCTTTTCGTACGGCAAGGCTGCCGGAGATTTGAATGCCTACACCACCGGACGGCTGGGGAATCAACATGTGGTGCTGACCTATATGCCAAGTATGGGTATCGCCAGTTCAGCGGCAGTAGCCGCAAACCTTTGCAACAGCTTTAGAGGAATCAGGCTTGCCATCACAACTGGTATTTGTGGCGGCGCCCCAAAGGCTCCTGATGGTGCCGAGATCCTGTTAGGCGATGTCATCGTCAGCATGTCGGTGATTCAGATCGATTTTGGCAGGCAATACCCAAACACATTCGTCAGGAAGAAAGAGATCGACGATACTCTGGGCCGGGCAAATCCAGAAATTCGAGCATATATCGGGAAGACTTCAGGCCATCTAGTCCAAGAGAGGCTTCGGGAGAAGATTGCCATCTTCTCCGCCCACATCTCCGCCACAAAGGGGTTTTCGGGATTCGTCTATCCTGGACCAGAAAATGACAGACTCTACCCTGCTGACTATCGACACAAGCACCGAACGCAAAACTGCAGTACTTGTGGCCATTGTGTGGAACCAGACGACGGCGTGTGCGAGGCTGCCCTCCAGAGTTCGTGTACGGCTTTGGGTTGTGAGAGTGACCTTGTTGACGGCCGGACACGTCTTGAACGAGCGCTAGGCGTATCCCCGGATGGACGCCGAATGACATCTGCAGCTATTCAAGATGCCAGAAAACCAGCCATTCATACAGGGCGCATAGCGAGCAGCAACACCGTCATGAAGAGTGGTATGCACCGAGATCGTGTTGTGGCTGAGGAGAAGGTTCTTGGGTTTGAGATGGAGAGTGCAGGTAGTTGGGAATACGTCCCTACAATTGCCATCAAAGGTGTATGTGACTATGCTACAGCAGCCGCGTGCACCAAGGCGATGCTGGAAGAATGGAGAAGCGTGCAAAGCCCGCCTCGGGATCCAGACGAACAGACACACCGAGGTGAGTTCTGTTACAACTCTACAGAAGGTGCTGATCTCTCTAGGGTCCGTCTTAATCACACATCCCGTGCACTGGACCATCACTCGCTCTGCCAACACATTGTTCGTCGGACGAAATGATGTGATCGAAGAGTTGGATACCATCATCCGCGAGGCTATCAAGAATCCTGAGCCGAAGACTCAATGCAGAATTGTCATTTCCGCTATGGGTGGCCAGGGTAAGAGCGAGGTCTGCTTGCAACTGGCCCAGCGCGTCCGTACACTGTAAGTCCACTTGTCATTTGCAGCATCCCTACCGTCAACTAAGTGTCTCACTCCCTACGGCCAGATTCTGGGGAGTCTTTTGGGTCGAGGTCAGCACCAAGTCTTCGGCGGAGAACGGTTTCTTGGACATCGCGAAGCGTGTAAACCCTCCCGCACAGACATGGGAGCACGGGCGGCAAGGGCTGGCCAACGTTCAGCAACCATGGATCTTGGTGTTGGACAATGCTGACGACCCGGTCATCGACTACTCCGAGTATTTCCCACCTGGGCCGTCGGGCGTAGTGGTGCTAACGTCGCGCAATCACGAGTTCCAGCAATATGCGACTGCCCGGCACATTGATCTAGAAGGCCTTCCTGTCGCTGATGCCCGAGAACTCTTGTTAAAAGCGGCACGCTTGCAGGGAGATGAACGGCCGAATCTGACAGCTGATGCAAACAAAGTGGCCGAGCTGCTTCATTTGCACCCTTTCGCGCTTATTCAAGCCGGAACATATGTAGCACGTGGCCACTGCACCCTCGCCGAATACCCTGAAGTGTACGCACGTCAAAGGAAAAAACTACTCACCTTCCGTTCCATGCAGGCTCGGTCTCGGTACCGCGACGTCTACACAGCCTTCGAGGCCTCGATCGAAACCCTTCGTTCAATCTCGGAGGTTTCAGCCCACGACGCGCTCGAACTGCTGCCCATGCTGGCAGTATGTGGGGCGAATCGTATCCCCCTTGAGCTATTTCGAGTTGGCTGGAAGGGTGCACAACACTTCATCTCCAGAAATGCATGTGACCTAAGTAGCCCGAGCCGATCACTGACACAATGGCATGTCTCTCGTTTCCCGTTATTTGTGCAAGTTGGTGTGGAAGAATGGGATCCCTTTCGCCTCATGGAAGCCTTGCAGATGCTGAAAGCACTCGGCCTTGTCTCGGTCGAGGAGTCTAACGAAGGTGACAGGAGCGTTTCCATGCACCCCCTAGTTCATGCCTGGGCGCGAGATCGCCAGAGTGACCAGCAACGGCACGAATCCTGGCTGAAGATGAGTTGTCTCATCGCCGTAGCCTCCGTTGACAACGACTTCTGGAGCATGAGCGCGCAGCGGCTGCAAGCCCATCTCCAGGCTGTCATATTGTGGCCCATGCAGTCGATCTTTGGTGGGGACCCAGCCTCATTGATAGTAGACGTGTTGTCGCAGATTGGGATTATATGCCACATTTTGGGAGATGACAAACAACTCGCTTTGATACTAGAGAGGTTGTTCACACACTTGAATCTAGACCCTTCGAAGGTGAATGAGCAGTGGGTGAACATATATGAACTTAAGGCGGTGAACTTGATCTCCTCTGGTGGATTTGACGAGGCAATAGCACTCCTGACGCAGGTGGTGGAGATGAAGACGGGCACACTCGCGAAGGAGGATCCTGGCCGACTACACTCAATGTACTTGCTTGCATTGGCATATAAAGGTGACGGGCGAGTTATGGAAGCATTGACATTGCTGGAACAGGTGGTCGAGATAGAGAGCCACACCCGCCCGGAGACAGATCCTACCCGACTGCCTCCGATGAATGCGCTGGTGCTGGTGTACCAGGATGTCGGACGAGCTCAAGAAGCGTTGTCCTTGCTAGAAAAAGTGGTCGAGATTGACAGTCATCAAATAGTGGCGGGGCATCCAGCTCGACTGTATCCGATGCATGCGCCGGCGATGGTGTACCTGCTCGACCGACAACCCGATAAAGCCATCCCTTTGTTAGAACATGTGGTCGAGACAAGGAGGCACACACTCACCGACGAACATCCAGCTCGACTGGCCTCGATGCATGAGCAGGGAAGAGCGTACCGAGAGCGTGGACAACTCAACGAGGCAGTGGCGTTATTAGAAGAGGTCGTCAGCACTGAGAAGCGCACGCGCGCGCCGGAAGATCCAGTTCGGCTGAACTCGATGGCTGAGCTGGGGAAAGCATACATGGCCAACGGACAATTCAACGAGGCCTTGGTATTGTTGGACCAGGTGGTCGACGTGGTGATTTCAGGCGCCGAACACTCGCTGAGCAAAATCTAGAGCGACTCGGCTTCGAGCTTTTGCTGGTCCTTGTCCTCAGGAAACTCAACCGGCGAAGCGACGCTCTGCAGCTATTTCAAGCATGTTGTTCGGCTCGGAAGAACGGTGCTGGGCGAATGTGGCTTATTTGCAGAGATCGACGAGTTTCTCAAGCTCTACGCGTAAAAACCAGAAAACGACCTCGAGAGGCTTCGAAGCAGTGCAGGTCCGTTCTTGTGGTTGAATAGGCACTTCCGTGACATCTAGACTGGCACATAAGCTGATATCAACAAAGAGCAGGTATTCATGCGATTGTATTCGATGGGCCGAGTTCAGCCGGAACAAGACAGTGCAACTGTGGCACCGTCAGATTGGCGACCACGCAATCGAACGCTGTAAGGCTCATGTGTTCTTCCCCCCGGCCGGTGCCGAAGGATGTCGATGGGTATGAGCGAGGTACCTGGGTACGTCGTCCAGATGCGTCCATGTCGAGGCTGGGGTAGTTCTATCTATACAGAGATATGTAGCCAATGGAAATCCTCGTGAATAAACAGAGCTGCAGTTTCTGGGGACCCCGTGACCCCGCACCAGAAGATGGCGTGGGTCTTGGCGCCAAATCCTGGCTCTTTTGCTGTATTCGTCCGCTCCTCCGCTCCTCCGCCATCCTTCCTACCACCGAGCCACCTATTCTAGTCTTCGTTTGGGCATTCGCAAAGGACCTATAGAACACGACTTTGACGTCGTGCAGGTGATGATTTACATAGGCATCTCGGAATGTATCTGACTGGCAATTCTCAAGCAACCCTCTCAGCTACCAGAAGCCACACCCGACACCCCACGCACCTGATCACAAAAGCTACCGGAGAAACATGCCTGGCCAATGGGTTCTAGATGACTCTCAGAGTCTGTACTATCTCGAGCACGACGATGTACCGGAGAAGGTCCCTACCGACCAACTCCCGCGGCGCGATTCGCGACCGGGAAATACGCCCTTTCGTCCTCCGAGTCAACAACACCACATACCTATGCGACACCAACATGTAGCACCTGGATGGGATTCAACTATAACGGACGCGGCCAAGACACGCTCTTCGTTCAAGCGTCCGCGATTGTCTTCCGAGAGCGACGTCCTACAACATCCCTTTGCATTTAGGGCAGGCCAGGATTCTCCGTTAGCGGATTGGGATCTGGATAACCTGACAACAAGCAATGATGTCTTCTCGACGCCAGCGTCTACAACGACAGTCACTACGACTAGTGCAACTCTACCTGGTGTTTTCGGGCCCACACCGCCGCCTGCCCTGGAAATATCAAGACGTGACCGCTCCCGCCATCGCCAGAGGACAAGCACCGCTAACAGACTTCAACATCGGCACCGCACCGAACGCACCCCCACTGCGAATCATCGCGACGAGTGCGATAGATCCCAGAAGGAAGCGCAACAGGCCATCATGCGGGCCCTTGCGCGCCTGGATCGAGCCACGCTGTTTGACCACACTTTCACGCATCCACTGTCCAGCCTGAGCCTGGCCATGGGCTTCAACACCAGCCTGCCCAAGTCGCAGTTCGACACGTACATTATGGCGCTAAGACAGTTGCTTCGTGGTTCCTCCGACCGGTGTTTCCTCAGGTGAGATAGTATGCCCAGGACACAATGAGTCAAAAGCACCACGCGGTCTTTCTCGGCAAGGCATGCTAACGGAATCGGCAGCAATGAACTGCAGCGCGCAATCACTGCTGAAGGCGTGCTGTGGGTGGTTCGCGAGGCGTGGCCCGCCGCAGAGGGGTACTGGAATTTGACGGTATGTGTTTCCCAGGAAAACAACAACAGTGCTAGATGGGATATGTTCGTTTGCTGACAATCGTAATTCAAACAAAATACAGGCCACCTTCCGAGGCTTCCTCCACGCCGAGCTCTGGCGCAATTTCCCCTGCCAGCGTTCATACAACCAACTCCCCCCCGCATACCGTCCGACACGGGCTCAGCTGTCGGTTCCTCACTCGCCCATGATTGACTGGATGCCGTGGCCCGATGTGCGGGACATGGCGATCATGTACCAGGACCAGATCGACGTGGACGCGCTGTTCCGGATGGCCATCCACAATGTGGTCGCGCACCGGAAACGGCGTGGTCGGCGGAAAAAGTCGTCCTTGCGCACCACTCCTTATCCTTCGTCGCTCTCTCGAAAAATCGACGACCACGATGACGACTCCTCCAAAACCCCTCTCCTTCATCCTTCGTCTTCTCCTCTTGATCCACCTCCTCCACATCTTTCTCCTCCTTCCAACCAACTCCGACCCGAACACCAAACGCAAGGGGCGACCACCACCACCAACGACGACGACGACGACCATGACGACGATGTGCACGACAAAACCTCGTTCCGAGTATGGGACCTGGTATGTCTGGAAAAAGCGCACGGGACGAACCCGCTTGCCGAGCCGGGCCTGGAGAAGAAACCGGTGCCGCGGTCACCGGGCTTGCGCGCCCTCCTGCGCGCCTACGACCTCGAGTACGACGAGTTCGACACGCAGAAGCTCGACGACGGCTTCTTCGAGGCGTACCCGTGCCTGTATGCCGACACGGCCGCCTCGGCCTGGAAGGTCCAGCGGTTCCCCAACATGCCCGTCGAGGACGTGGGGGGACCTGTCCCACTCAGTCGGGACGCGGTGTTTCGCCTCAAAGCGCGCATTGAGTCTATGATTGGCGCGGAGATTCTTATATGATTTTGACGTGATATCTAGGTACCCAGATACTGGGGATCTACTTGGCTGGCTGGTTTAGCTGGCTTGCTACCGACCTAGCCAGCTGCTTTGGTTGATGATGTATGATGAAGACGGGTACTTGGGTACCAGGACATACGATATGGTCATTTGTATACGGCCTATTGATATGGAACGACAGATGTCCTCCCTTGGTAGGCCTTTATCTATTGCGAACGGCCTCCCTGGTCTTGATAAATCCCCTGGTTGGGACATGCAAGATCAGGCAGAGTATAAATGGTGTATAAACGGTGTATTATACTATATTATATCATGGTAGTTCTCTTATGAGAAAAATGAAACGAACCTAGAATAATCTCTGTCTTCGATCTCCCTTTTTTTTGGCGAGTTGGGTTTAATGTATTGTACAGACGTAGATGATAGTACATGATAGTCATATACATGATCCTCGAACCACTTTGTGGAAAATAATAATATAGCAACCAGGGTCCCCCCTATCCTATATCCGAAAATTTTGAAGTTAGCAAATCACCCTCAGCCAAAAATACATCAATCCCCCGCACAAAACTCCCGCAGCCACGTCCTGGCGGGGACGTCGACGGTGCCGTGGAAAAGCTCCGAGGGCAGCTCAAAGGGTTCTTCTTGCTGCTGTGACTCTGTCGTCCCTGGAGACGGGCGCTTGTACGGGTGCTGGTGCCGGGAAAGGATCGGCGAGGACGCGCTGGTGTGCACGGTGAAAGGGCTGGATTCGTCGTCGGCGCCGCCGAAAAATCGCGTGACTTCCGAGGGGTCGAGGTGGTCGAGCTCAAAGATGCGGCCTTGCTCTCGGGGAGGAAGGTCTGGTGTTGTCCCAAGCACGGGGGGTTCGTTGCCATAGAGTTCGGGGGGCACGTCGATGTCTTCGGAACTCGAGGCGGCGAATGCAGCGAGATTCGTCTGCCTCTGCGCTGGAAAGGCGAGCAGGGTTGAGGGGCTGAGGAGGTCATCGTGGGCGGTGTCGCTTTGCTGGGTTGCGGGTATTGATGTCGTATCGGCGCTGGTCTGGGTCTGGCTGGTATCGTCGAGAGAGATGGGCTCGTGTCTCGACCCGGATCGTTCCTCATGTGTCGGTCTCTTCGAAGAGGGAGTGCGTGGTACCGGCGGCTTCGCATGAGACGAGATATGGCGCAGGAGAGTATCCCTTTTATTTTTTGGCAGAGAAGACACAAGAGTCAGCTCTTTTCTGCCAAGTTCCACACCATCCCATGTCACGGAGCGCACCGACTCCCGGGTTCTGCTACACGGTCCAAAAGAAAACAAGGACCGTAACGACTCTTTCTTACTTACTGTCTCGTAAACGACCTCAAACACAACGGACATGTGAACGGTCGATCGGGATAGTGGCTCCTCTTGTGCCGAGTCAAGTGCTCGTTCCTCTTAAAGGGCTTTGAGCAAATTTGACAGCGGTAGACTGCCATCTCAATCTAATCTCCTCTATCTGATCTGGCCTAGTCTGATTTTTATCTGAGAGACTTGTTGTCTTTTATCCCTATAGATAGACAGATGTGGTTTCGTATAATGGATAATGGATAGTGGACGAGGACTACTGGGGCAGCGGGGTGGCAGTAGCAGTCGCGGGTACTCATTGCACTGTATGTATCGACAGGGATGTTTTCATTTGAATTGAATGCCTTGCTAGTGGTGGTAGTGGTGAAGGCAGTGCGGGGGAGATCAAATGCGGGATGCTGGACTTGCCTGGCTGCGGATTGGCTCTTGGGCGAAGCGAGGCGGGAATCGTCGGATGCGTTCAGATAAGGAGCGTTTCCGAGTCCCAAGCTCTAGTTTTCCGAACTAATCCTCTCCATCTAGTGCCTAGGAGGTACTCCGCAAACGGCGTGCTGAATCCGAAGATCGGCGACCGAGGCTCGTACAGAGACTTGCTAACCACCTTTGCTTCGTACGTCTTTCACAGCTTCCACCTCGTCCCTCCTGGTCGCAAATTGCTGACCGCGGCCTCCAGCCTGACCCAGAACACGGCAATGGTGGCAGTCGCTAACAATACCCCCACCAATATGGTGGTGTTCTGATACGGCGCGGGTCCCTTCTCGTGAGTTGCGCCCCGAATAAGTGCGCCGGCGACAGGGGTGCCGATCATGGTGGCTAGTCCTCGCACCATGTAGAGAAAGCCATTCACCGAGGCGAAATGTTGGACTCCAAAAAGCTCGACGAGAGAGGTGGGGAAGAGTGAGACGTATGCAGACGCGAAAACGCCGTAGAGCACCGTGAAGGCGATGAACAAGTTGCGGCTGTCGGATTGGCTCGAGGAGAGGGACGAGGGAATCCACAGACCCAGAGCAGCAATCGCCGAAATGGCCGTGGTCAGAAACAATGCGTTGAGCCGGCCGATCCTGTCTGCGGCGTGTCCGATGATGATCTTTCCCACAGCGTTGGCAGCGTTGGATAAGGCGATGAAGTTCGAGGCCGTGGCGGACGAGTAGCCCAGTGTTCTCGCGTACGAGGCAAAGAAAAACACCGGCGTGTAGTATGCCGCAGATTGTAGTGCAGCACCCAATCCTTGCGCGAGAAACGTGCGTGACCGAGCAATGCGATAGTCCACCAAAGGGATCCTGAACAGTCCGACGATACCTGACGAACGTCGAGCTTCTGCTCTGAACCGTTGCGCTGCCGCAGCGTCCCACCGCATGACAGGAGCGGCGGCACTGACGAGGACAAAGGCAACGGCCGCCGATATTCGTAGAGAGTTGCGGAAGCCCGTTTTGACAATCAAGCCGTGCAGGACGGGAGCCCAGACGACGCCTCCAATGCCAGTCCCCGAGAGGATGATCCCCATGGCGAGGCCGCGACGGGCGGTGAACCAAGTCGGAGCCACCGTCACGGCGGGCATATACGTCAGACAGGTTCCTATGCCGCAGAGAAAGCCCTGTGTGAGCTGAACCTCCCACATGTGTCGACTGAACGAGGCCAAAAGCAATGCGAGAGAAAACACCACCCCTCCGGCGCCGATGACGAACTGCGGAGGGAATTGCTTGGTCCAGGCTGTCGCGTAGGGGGCACCAATTGTCATGAGGGAGATGGCCAGTGTGCCGATCAGGTCAATCATGGCAGGGGACGAGCCGTAGAATGGAGATGAGGGGTCGTGAGAGAGCCCTTGGTAGACATCTTGGTAGACGCCAAAGGAGAAGCCGATGCCGCACACGGTGAAAATGAGTGTCGTAGAGGCAACGACTATCAGAACATGTTGTCTGGGTTAAGACGATCAGCTCTGACTCTCCCATGAATTGGAGTCTGAACAATGGACGACCTACAGCTTTGAAGGCTGAACTGGTTGCGGCTCCGGTTGTAGAGAAGGAGGATTCTGGAGTTCTATTCCAACCTCGAGATTCGGGCTGGTCATTGTGCCGTTCTCAAATATGGCTCTGTGAGAATCTTGTTGGAAGAACTGGTGAAGAGGGGAGGATGGACTTGAAATATGTTTGGCTCCATGCTGGGGTAGGGCGCCCACTTATACGTTTGTCTCCAACTACTCGTCAAGCCAAAATAGGGGGTCCACCTACATGTCTTTCATAGGGCGTACCCAGGCGAATCTAAAGCCTTGACAGCCTCATACTGCTTGTCAACTTTGGATAAGGAGCAAACACCACACTGATGTGCGTCATATGGCCAAGGTATGACAAGGCTGGACTGACGAGGCTGCGGTGCCAAGGAGGCTTTTCCCTTTCCGCAGGGACGTAATGAGCGACTCTCCTGCGCCTCCGTCAACATCAACCACAACCCACTCGTCAGGTTCGACCGCGCTCTTGTTTCCGACGGCGAGTCTGAAGCACCTCGCTCGCCCCAGAGAGTTCTTACAATGACCTGCCATAAACCCTCACCGGAGCGCAGAATTCTCCGACGCCCATGTCCAACATGTGACAAGTCGGACATCCCTTGGCCCGCCCGCCATGCCCGCCAATGCACCCAACCTCACGCCACCAACACACCACTTTTTTCTAATGCATACTTGTAATGCAAGCAACTGCCTTTTGCGAGATTCTATAAAACCAACCTGGGCCGACCTCTTTTAGACGTGACGATGGTATCGAAACCTTGTCGAAAGGATACACCTGCCAACACTACAACATGACTGCTCGCATTGCCATCGTTGGAGCCGGAGAGGTCGGCGCCGCTACGGCGTTTGCCCTCCTCCGAGGCTCTCTCTACAGCGAGCTGCTGCTGGTCGACGTGAAGCCGGAAAAGCGAGACGGTCAGGTACGTGACCTGTCGGACGCGTGCTACGCCGAGGACAGCACCACACGAGTTCGAGCGGGAACTCTCAAGGAGGCGGGCGAATGTGACATTGTGGTCGTCACTGCCGGGTCTAAGAGGTCGAGAGGTATGTTGCCTCTGTTTCGGTTCTGGCTGCTGTGGAGCGGAACAAGATTGACTGACGCACTTTGTGCGCAAACCAGGCGAGACGTCGCTTCAGCGGATAGAGCGAAACACGGCCATTCTCGAGAGGATCATCGACTCATTAAGACCGATCCGCTCCGACCTCATCCTCCTCGTCGTGTCGCACCCCGTGGACGTGCTCACGACGCTGGCCCTGAAACTGTCGGGCCTCCCACCATCGCAAGTCATAGGCTCAGGAACCTTTGTAGACACGGTTCGACTTCGGCGGATGCTGGCCGATAAGTTCGAGGTCCGTCCCTCTTCCCTTCGTTTCGTCATTCAAGCCTATAAAATCCCCTCTCACGACAAGTCCTAACCCACTCTGATTGAACATACAGATCGCACCCGGTCCGATCAACGCCTACGTTCTCGGCGAGCACGGCGACTCGCAATTTGTGGCGTGGTCGCACGCCTCGATCGACGGGGTGCCCATCGCCGAAGCACTCCCCCCTCAGGCCTTTGACAGGGAGGAACTCGCCGACGAATGCAAGCGCGAGGGCCAACGCATCGTTGACACAAAGGGTGTCATCGCCTTCGGCATCGCCTCGGTCGTCTCCAGCCTGTGCTCGTCCATCATCTTTGACCGCCGCGACGTCCGCGCCGTCAGCCACTTCCAGCCCGACCTGGGCTGCTGCGTGAGCTTGCCCGTCGTCCTGGGGAGGCACGGCGTCGTCAAGCCGCTCCCGCTGGTCCTGTCCGCAGAGGAGAAGGCCAAGTTGGCCGAGTCGGGCAAGATCGTGCGGGAGGCGACCCAGAAGTTATTGGCTCCGTAATCTCAAAGAGAGAAGGGATTTCTCACGGGAAATGAAACGGCGTTGAGAAAGTATTTTGTTGGACCGGTTCGGGTGGTTCAGGTCTGAGAGGGTTGAGTTTATGTTTGTGGGATTGTGGGAGTAGGAGTGGGAGTGATTCTGGCCATTTGGGCGTGCTTAAAGGATTGTATTCGCGGAGGGAGAGCGACAAAGAGGATCATGACTTGCCTACTTACGTGTACAAGTATGTCTACTTCTACGTCTGCTTGTTGGGTTTACAAAAGGGGTAAATGGGCACGCGGTGATGGGTGACCAAAAGGGATTGGTTGAATAGGTTGGAAGTTCAAGCGATAAAGTACAAATCTAACACTGACTCTGACTCTGACAAACCGGCCTTCTCTCTCTCTCTCTCCCCCTCCCTCCCTCCCTTCTTACTTACACACTATGGCTTTTACTTCAGCGACGAAATCAAGATAAAACATTTCCTTTATTTTGTCGTCCAATCTCAGATATCAAATTCAGTTTCTCTTCCACCCGCTCCTTCAACCTCATTTCGGATCCGTCATTGAATCTGATCGAACTCTTTCTTTTTTACTTTTCAGAAGCCCTTCCTCTTCCTTTTGCTACCACGACAAAGTCCTAAGGAGGGCAAACATTCAAGTACATGGTATGATTACACACAAGTAGGTCATAAAAACCCAAGTCCCAAGACAAAGGCGCATCAAAAGAGATCAAAACTACCCAGATTTACAATCCCTATTCCCCCCCTCCGTGAAATCACGCACTCACACCATTCGTTTTTGCCTCTCCCGCTGCCGCCGCGGCCTTTTCACTCGCAATGACGTGCTTCTTGACCTCGAGGAAACTGTCCGGGCTGACGGAGACGGAACTGATGCCACACCTCACGAGAAAAGCGGCGAACTCGGGGTGGTTGCTGGGGGCCTGGCCGCAGAGGCCGATCTTGCGGCCCGCGCGGCGGGCGACGGCGATGACGCGCTCAATCATCCACTTGACGGCGGCGTCCTGCTCGTCAAACAGGTCGGCCAGCTCGGCCGAGTCGCGGTCCACGCCCAGCGTGAGCTGCGTCAGGTCGTTGGACCCGATCGAGAAGCCATCAAACTGGCGCGTAAACTCCTCGGCCAGGATCACATTCGACGGGATCTCGCACATGACGTACACTTGCAGGCCGTTCTCGCCGCGCCGCAGCCCGTTGGCCGCCATGACCTCCATCACCTTGGCCGCTTCGTTGACCGTCCGGCAGAAGGGGATCATGACAACCGCGTTCGTGAAGCCCATGTCCTCACGGAGTCGCTTGATCGCTCTGCATTCCAGTGCGAAGCCTTCACGGTACCGGGGTGAGTAGTACCGCGACGCTCCGCGGAACCCCAGCATCGGGTTCTCCTCCTTGGGCTCAAAGTCCTTGCCGCCGATCAGGTTGGCGTACTCATTGGTCTTGAAGTCGCTCATCCGGATGATGGCTGGCTTGGGATACACGGCCGCGCACAAGCAGGCGAGCCCACGCGAGAGCTTGTCGACAAAGTAGTCCGGCTTGTCCTTGTACCCGGCTGTCAACCTAGTAATTTCTGCCTGGGCCTTTTCATCCTTCAACTTGTCGAAATGGACCAGTGCCATTGGGTGGACTGAAATGCTGCTAACAACAAACTCCATCCGTGCCAGTCCGATCCCGTCGGCGGGCAGACGCCACCAGCGATAGGCCGAGGCGGGATTGGCAAGATTGAGCATGACACTGGTCCGTGTAGCTGGCAGGCCCGTCACGTCGACCTCCGTGGTGGTGATGTCGGAGATGCCCTCGTAGACAAACGCAGTATCCCCCTCGGCACAGGACACGGTAACATCTTGTCCCGTGTGCAGGATGTATGTGGCATTCCCCGTACCGACGACGGCAGGAACACCCAGTTCACGACTGACAATTGCTGCGTGCGACGTTCGTCCGCCGTGGTCGGTGATGATGGCTGCGGCTCGTTTCATGATGGGCACCCAGTCCGGATCAGTCGTTTCTGTCACCAAAATCGACCCGTCGACAAATTTGCCGATATCTTTGGCGCTCTCGATGAGACACAGACGGCCCGACACGGCAGCCTCGCCGACAGAGAGACCGGTAGATAAAACCCGGCCCTTTTTGCCAATCTTGTAGGTTTTGAACACCCCGGCTTCACGACGTGCTTGCACAGTCTCTGGCCGCGCCTGTACAATGAACATCTCCCCCGTGATGCCGTCTTTGGCCCACTCTATGTCCATGGGGCATTTATAGTGGTTCTCGATAATGCACGCCCAGCGTGCCAGGTTCAGGATTTCCGCGTCATTGAGCACGAAACTGTTCCTCTCTGCCTTTGAGGTGGGCACATTGCGAGTTGGCATATGCTCATTCCCATAGACCATCTTCATGGCCTTTTCGCCCCGTTTCTTCTCAATAATCGGGACCAGGTCGGGATTGGTGAGGAGTGGTTTGAAGACTTGGTACTCGTCGGGATTGACGGTGCCCTGGACAACATTCTCGCCCAGACCCCAGGCTGCGTTGATAAGCACAACCTTGTTAAAGCCGCTTTCGGTGTCGAGAGTGAACATGACGCCAGAGCCAGCAGCATCCGAGCGGACCATGCGCTGCACGCCGATAGAGAGAGCGACTTTTAGGTGATCGAAATGGGCAGTCTGACGGTAACTGATAGCCCGGTCTGTGAAGAGCGAAGCGTAGCAACGTCGACAGGCGTTGAGCAGCGCAGTTTGACCCGAGATATTCAGAAACGTCTCTTGCTGACCCGCAAAACTGGCGTCGGGCAAGTCTTCGGCCGTGGCACTGGAACGCACAGCAACGGACAGATCCTTGATGCCTGCCTGCGTCGAAAGCTCCTGGTAGGCTTTTGTGATGGCGGTCGACACATCGGCCGGCCAGTCACCACGCAGAAACAGATTTCGCACGGCCTGACCAGTTTCAGCAAGAGTTGTTTTACCAGATTGCCACTCCCCAATCAGCTTGGTCATCTTCCCTCTGATATCGTTCGCGTCGACGTAACGCCAATATGCGTCGGCGGTCGTTGCAAAGCCAGGCGGGACCACAATGCCCTCTGCCTTGAGGCCACCGATCATCTCGCCCAACGAGGCATTCTTGCCCCCGACAGACGCGACATCTCCTCGGACCACATTCTCAAAGTTGCGTACCAAGACCGGCATGATCTATTTTCTGTATGCTCCTTTTTTCAGATGAGGAAGACTGTTTGGTTGAATGTATTTTTGACGTATATCTAAGGTAAAAGATATTTAGAGATGCATGCTCTACAAGTATTATCGATGGAACTCACTCACCGGGAGCGTGTAGCACTGACACACCATTAAATGAGACTTGTCCAGAGGTCAAGTAAGGTCATGAGATGTGTTTCGGCGCCGGGGACATGTACCCAACCTGTTACCGTGTACCGGAGTACAATTACAAGTGCTTGTACAAGCACTGCCATGCCCGGAGGGTCGAATGCTGGCCCCAGAGTCTTGTGTGTTTGTGCACCTTTGTCCGCGCGTGCACGTACTCCTCTCGAGACTATTCGAACCAATCTTGACAAAGCCGCTGCCAGCCATCTTGCGGAGGGGACGGTGCCTGGGGTCCCGAAACAGGTGACAATGGATCAAGTCCATCATGAGAGGTCAGAATGATCTTGGTATGACATTCCCGAGCATATCCGTGCAAGTAAATTGGCAGCGAGGTCTTGCTGCAAGAATCACCTGATTGACGAAGCCTTTTTTTTTTTTTTTGGCCAGGGCCGGATTCGTTCTTATAACGTAATTAGTTTAACGGGAGAAGATGCTGTGGATTTGTAGTCGATAGGGAAATGGCTAGAGGACGGAGATGGCGCGTGGTGTCTGCGGTGCGAAGTGAGAAATGACAGGTGAGAAGTTACAGAGTATTGAGTAGAAGTAGATGGATTCGAGGTCATACCAAGGCCCACCCAGAACACGCACACTGTATTACCTCGTACAACATAAACACATATTTGTGACCTAAATAGTTCAGTTCCCGGGTCTCCTTCTGTATACTTTGTACTTGTTCATGCACTTAACTTGTAAATTGGTGTGGTCTTGATCCTTTCTCTTGGTCCGTTTTGGAGTCTGTTTCTGCACTTCGAGAGACCACCTCATTCTCCTTACTTGCACAACCTCATATCTCCCCCCAACGCCTAACCTCTTCATTCCCTCCTCTCACGCTATACACGCACAGCGGTTCGAGAATACCTTCAAGAGCAAGACTTGAGCACGGTAGCTTCCCCCACAGATGGGCGGCTGCGCCCCAGCAAACACTTCATTCAGCGTAAGAGCAGCCGAAAATGATGTGCCCTGGGCTGGACTCTTGTAAGCGGAGGAGGACATCAACAAGTATAAGCAAGCACATATTGCGAAACTCAGAGTCGGTATCTAGGAGGTGTGGTGTCATAATCATCCATACAGTCTGATCTTGTTGCCTCGACTATCACAGTGATGAGTGTAAAGAGTAAAAGTCATCGATTCATAGCCAGCCCATCCAACGCCCGTGTGAGGCTTTCGTGAAAGCCATATTTGAACCTTTCCTTTTTTCATCAATATCTGAACAGAACCTGACATCTTCCGCCACTTCTGGTATGGTCACATCATCAATAACCCACTAAATTTAGGCCGCTTCTTCCACGTGCCGCAGCACGGGGTAAAGCTGTTCTTCCTCGGATTGTTCTTTGTGTTCCTCTGTGCCAGTCATGTCGGCGTCGTGATGCTCGGTCAAGTCCTTGCGCGCAACATCCTTGTCCGCGCCTTGGCCGTCTTCATAGTCGCCGCTCTGGAGCTTCTTCTTGATGAACTCGCGCATCCATTCAATCAGACGCATGTTTTGCACCCACATCTCAGTCTGATCAGGACTGTCTTTGGACTCGCCACTCTTGGGTGTCTCGGACCCTTCAACACTCGCGAGGGCAGGATCAATAACACTATCCTGTGGCGAGACTTTTGTCTTGCTGTTGGAGGGATCTTTGTTGGCAGAAGAAGCTGGAGGAGTGACGGAGCCGTCGCTTCCAATATCCATTTCGTCCTTGACCATACCAGGCGCAGCACGTTGCAGTCGGCCACCATCCCAGCGACGACGGTCATCACTCTCGTAGAGACCACTGAGTGTCGCGGCATTGGCAGCCGCGTACGCCATATCACTCGCGCTAGCGGGCAGGGTCGGGTACATGGCACTGCTGGTTGGTGCGGCGTGGCCTGGTAGGGGGCTCTGGCCGGACGTGTAGCTCTGTGCTGACGACGGAGGAGTAAGACCTGGTGTGCTGGCATCCGTGGCGCTCGCAATGCTATCTTGGTGACCGTGCTGGAGCAACGAGGTGGCGCTAGCAGGAGCAGCAGCTGATGGGAGATGGGACGAGGTCGGAGGGCTGTTGCTCGAGCGGGCGTACGTCACATACCCGGAACCGGCTGGAGCGACACCTGCTGTGAGATGAGCATCGTTTTCGTAGATGGTGGCTTGCATCTGCTCGAGGATTTGGTCGATAGAAGTCAAGTCCTCCCTCGTCTTCGCGTTGCCCATTGGCGGCAAGCTGTAGGCCTGGATAGGATCCTCTTGTCCATAGCCACCACCAACGGACACCGGTTGATAAGCGGGAGTCGGGATCGCGGCGGGGATAATTTGTGGCAGCTGAAGACCTTGGAGCTCAAATAGACGGCGGCTGACATTGTGGAAATTGATCGGGTCGACCTCTCTGCGCTTAACCTGGCCAAAGAAGTGATCAAGAGCATCATAGCCGCGCTTGCGGGCTTCGTAGTCGTAGGTGGTTGCAGGGGCAGTGCTATAGTATGTCACTGGGCCATAGCCTGGGTGTTGTCCGGCCTGCGGTTTCGGTGTTAGAATCCTCGCCACAAAGCGCCCGAACTTCCAAGAGGCATGCTTACCTGGACTTGAGGGTGAGGCTGGTAATACTGATTGGGGTGATGCTGGCCAGTGTAGTCTTGCGGGCCCGGCATGGCAGGGGCATAGTAGTTTGGAGGCACTTGTCCCGTCAGACCGCGACCATAGTATGAGGCGCCGTAATGCCCACCTTGTCCCAGGCCATTTTGGTTTTGACGCTGCCCACCGCCGGGCTCCATGTTGGGAGAGCGCATGATGACACTGTCATCGGCATGGGTCTTGACATGTTTCTTGAGATCCTGGGGACGTTTGAAGGCCTTGCCGCAGAACTCGCACTTGTGAGGTTTCAAGGGCACATGGACGCGAATGTGGGAGGTGATGTGGTCGCGTTTGACCGTGGTGGTACGGCACTGACCCCAGGCGCAGGTCAAGTTGAGATTGTTGGTCGACTTGCGACCAACATGGCGTTCGCAGACGTGCTCCTAGAGTCACAGTTAGGGCGCGTCATCAGTTAGGAAGAGGAGAGAGGCTCACGTAGAGCAATTCAGCTGAAGGGCAGCGCTCGCCGCATCCTTGCCACTGGCACTGCAGGTTTTCACCGGCAGCGTTGACACTTGGCGCAGGCTGATTTGAGGCCAACGGTGGTTGCTGGAGTTGACCTTGTTGCTGAACCACCTCCTGAGGAGCAGTAGGATTGGGAGTGGGCGTGTTGGTCTCCCCCAGGTCAGCCATTGTTTCCTTGGCTCGAAAGCAGCGCCAAGAGCGATGTCGATACTTGGCGGCGGAATAGAACAGCTACCAACTTGGAACGCGAGGCTGCGAGTCCGTGTCCGCGATGCGAGTTGCGATCACGCGAACAGGAATCACGCCAAGATGGTGACGAGGGTGATGGAAAAGTGAAAGTTGAGGATGAAGAGAAAGGGTGAAGGAGAACCAAATTTTCGGGTAGGAGAAAAGATGGTTGGAAGGTTTTTTTTTTGCTGGCCTGAGTAGTTTCGCCGGGCGCGCGGGAGACTGAACTACTATTAAGTATATCTGTCCCTCTGACTCGGACACGGCGGTTAAGGTGACGACGATAAGGATGGTAAATTTGCACAAGTCGTCTGAGAAGCAAGAAGAAGAGAGAAAGGCTCGGAGAGGAGCAGGTTTAATTTACGGAAAGAGAAGAGGACTACGACTAGTATTTTGATTCCCGGGGGGGGGGGGGTTTGATTCTTTTGGGAGAGGGAGGGGGTGGGTGCAGCAATAATGAGTAGAGTTGACGGGGGAAGGAGCCATTCAGGAAACTCGGAAGGGGGGGATAACAGGATGAGGCAGGAAAGAGGGCAAGGAGCTGCACTTGGGGGGTGGTCCCTCTGGCTCGTCAGAAAGTGGACAGACAAGGGCGAGGAGTGATTTCACGGACGAGAGGGGGGGAATGGCGCGTGGGCGCGAGAGGAAGGGCGAGAGTTAGAGAGGCAGAGCGAGAAGGCGAAACGCATCTGGCCGTTGGTTTGACGTGCAGAAAGTGGCAGTGAATGAGAACAAACCGAAAGAGAGAATTCGAGAGGGAGGAGGCCAAAGCGAATGACGGCGTCGATGGGCAGGATCCATGGGCCAGTCACCTATTAGCGCCTTGGCATTGGCAGGTGCCAAGACACTACGCAATCCCGCCAAACACAGCCCACCAGTTGCCTGCCTCGTGGTGGGGCAATTTCTGGTCAACTGCGGCCAACTACTTGTCCTTGAAATGCTCTTGCAAGAGTCCATCGACAGTCGGCAGTCAGCGTGATACGAACTCTGTGGCCCTGCACGTCGAGTCGAGTCGAGTCGTTTTTCCCCGCGGGATTATCCATTCTCAACACCTTCCCTCTGCGGCGTCAACGGTTCAGATGCCAATCCCTCTTAGCGATTTTACGGGTTCTTGTTTTGGGGGCTAATTTCGCAAGCCGAGGGAAAGGTCAGAAAACGAGTCGGGTAGGAGCTGAGAGCGGAATGGAGCCCCTGATGAAACCCTGACGAGTCTTGGATTTCTTGGAACGTCGGAAATCCTTGGAACAACAGCCAGCGGGACGAGAAGTTGGCCAAGGGAGGAACACCAGCACCAAGACATGCTCAGGGAGGCGCAGCACCTTTGTCCTCACCCACTCTACCTTGTTCGGCGCGGATGATACGTGTGCTCGTGGTTAGAAGTGGCAAACCTTTTGTCAGAGTTGGCGCCCCCAGCGTCCTCCTCCCTCTTGGCTGAAAGGGAATGGAAACTCAAAAAAACCCTTTGACCCAAGAGTTGGTACCAAGGCCGGAATTTCTTGGGTCTCGCCATGGCTTTTCCGTCGGTAGCAAGGGATTCACATCGGCGATATCATGGCGACTTAATCTACTTGTAGAGATTATTCCTCCTTTTGGGGGCAGTCATTACGAATTATGCTCCCCATGTGACTACCAGACTAGACCGGAGTGGTTTGTTGGAGGGCAGCGTGGCGTTGGATCAGGACACCCTTGCATACTGTGTAGAATCACGATAAGTGTGACGGGAATCACGAAATCGCCGAGCTGGATTGGGGGCTTAAGCACTGGCGGCCGTGCTTGATATGGGTTAGGACTCCAAGCTCACGTCATGTTAAGGCGCACGAGGTACTCGTTCTTAGAACCTCTGAAGGTGTCTGGGTGTATGCTTTTCGAGGTGGCGATGAAAAAGGGAAGAGTTGGTCCTGAACTACCCCTCATTTAGTCGTAGGAGGCATAAAGTGGCATGATGGCATTCTACCTCGTTATCCATAATCGTGTCAGTGGTGGGTAGACACGGTAGATAACATGGTATACCGAGTATTCAGTCAGTAGTACCCCTCTGGCCTCCTGCCCTCCTATCATTGTTCCTTTCCACAAAATCAAAATCAAGATCAACTGAAGTTCCAGCCAGGCCCATCCAGACCTATTTGGTAACTCCTTGGTCCACGATACCGAAATACTAACTATGCACTAACAACCTACTACTAGTTACTTAGATATGCACTTGGTATCTCGTACTCGGTGTGCTCGGTAACCCAACCACCCATTATTGTTATCAATGGTTTAATTCAAGCTTTGCACTTGTACCTACTTGGACACAATTGTATGCCACGAGGACCAGGACCAGGACCACCACCGAACCCGAGTCCTCGGTACCACAAACAAATGCTGCTAATGATGATCATGTACCGGGTACCTTATCTTATGTGCAAGTGTGTAGGTATTTGCACCGACCGAGTCAGGTCAGAGAGTCAGACGTACTTGGTACTTGTACCAGACACGCACAAGAACTGAGCAAGGTATACCATACCAACCAACACCTCGGCTGCTTTTGGCGACAGCTACCCAAGTGAGCTTGCAACTGTCATGTACAATGTGATCCTTGTGCACCACCGAGGGAGGCCAATACTTGGTACTTTGGGTACTTGAGTTCACCTTTTCACTCTTCCAAACTAGCCTGTCATTATTATTATTTACTCTGTCTGTCACCTTTAAAAATTTCCCCTGTAACTACAGAAAAGTGAATGGGGAAATGAATGGCCTCGTCATCCCCTCTCCATGTCCTCGTGCATTCCCGATCCTGGGCAATCAGATCGATCACCTACCTACCTACCTACTCCGTACAGCGTTACGCGTACCTCGCCAATGCCAATGCTAGCGGAAAGTCTTGGAAGGCGCGCAGGGTGTGGGAAGGAAGGAAACCCCAAGACTCCAAGAATTCCAAGAATGTCCAAGAAAAAAAACAACCACGCAAGAGAGCAACGCGCAGCACGACGGGCCAGAGGGCAAAGAGCGGAAAATCTTGGATGATTTTTTCTTTCTTCTGGGCAAAAACATGACATACCTACCAAGGCTACCTACATAATTACATTGATACAGTAGCAGAATACTCGGTACTTGGTAGCTCACCATCGTTGACTATCATCCGGTACATACATCCGGGAGAATCATGTCACCATCTCTACACTACCACTGTACTTGCATGGGTAGAGACATGATCAATTAGTCATATTTATTTTTATTGTGGTATGTACGTTATTCGGATAATATGTATCGAGTAGAGGGAGGTAAATCACCCTGGTCACCGCTGTCGTCACCCTTACCAATCCCGTTTACCTCTGTATCCTCGACTCTTCCCCCTCTACTCACCTCTCTACCTTCCTCTACACTCACTCTGTAGGTCTACCAGATGCCTACCGACTAGGTATCTACCCACCCACCACCTACCCACATACCAACCTCATACCTCCTCCTTTTTCGATACATGGACTCTCTCGCGCTCCCGCTACTCGTGCATGTACAGGTATCAAATCATGCGCAGATCTTATCCGTTCCAGCACCACCCGGAGTCCGAACCAAAATCCCAATTGCCCCCTTCTCCTTCCCTCGTGCCTTGTTCACACCGCCAAAATCCATGCAGACAGACAGTAGATTAATCATTTCTGGACTTTTGATTTCTTTTCCCCTTGGGGTTTGTGTCTTTCTCCTTCTCTTGCTCTCTCCCCCCTTCCCGCCGTCCCAAACCAGGAGTCGGGGGGTAGGTGCCTCGCGGCAATACTACCTGACTACCTGACTACCTACCTACCTACCTAGTTCATATGCATTGCCTGTACTCGCTACACCTATGTATCCGTCTATCTACCCACCCTGGATATACTTGGACGTGGTGGACATCTCCATTCGTCGCACTCGGTAGTTAGCAAGCTATATTCTTAGGGACCAACGACATCTAGGACGGCGCAAACACACGCTCACACACAAAGAACGAGAGAGTAAGAAATAGACAAGTCACCATGTTTCCGTGGCCAATATGCTATTAGCTTAGCTTCATACCCATTCAATCTGTGGTATCATTTAGAGAATTGAAGAACCCTTTGCACGTTTGCACGTTTTGCCCATTTGCCCCAAAACCATCTCCGCCATGCCTGAATTCATGTCGAGACCCTCTCTTCTTACCAATCCTCAAACCCCAAAAACTCCCGATACGCCAATTGTCACTCACTTAACCCCCCCCTTCAAATCGTCAATGCTGCGTGTTGCCGTAATGCTGCTCGACCCATCCCGGGTTCCAGCTCTCGGTGCCAAAGTAATCCAGGTTCGCCTGCACTCCCTGTGGCAGGCCAGCCCCTACCCCGATCTGGCCGCCATTCATATGTTTCCAGTACTCGTCTGCATTGGTCGACGCACTGGCTTCGCCTCCCACGTTCATCGATTCTGTCGTATTCGGGACGCCGCCGCCTAGATGATTCATGTCGCTTCCGAGCGAATTGTGCATCAGGATGTCTGTAAAGGGCGTGTTATAGTCTCGTCCGGTCTGGGTGCCGAACTGCTGTGTCAAGCTGGGGCTTTCACTCAAGCCTTGCGGAAATGGATAATCGTAGCTCCCAAAATGGGGGGTCGGGATGGGCATCAGATGGCTGCTACTGCTCGGCGTACCAAAAAGGTTCGTCTCGTTGGGTGTCATGCTGGCTTCGGAGAACGGGTAATGCCCGTCGGTCGATTCGAGCGCACTCATTGGGGGATTGGGATAGGCAAAGGGATTGTCGCTCGGGAACATGACATTCTTCAAGTCCGGTATTTGTGCATTCCCTAGTTGCGGCGTATATTGATAGTTGGGCGACATGGGGGTCGACGTCGAGGGGCTTTGAAATCCTACGAGCTGAGCATTCTGCACGTGCTCAGAGAAACTCGACATGACCGGGTCGGGGAGAGAGTTTCTCTTGGCCAGTTTGGCCAGATAGTCCGAGGGCAACGTCCTTGCTCGACTGGGCGTGGCCGAGTGTTCTCGGGGAGTGACTTGGTTGCTCACTTCGCCGGCATTTGATCTCTCCTGCTGTGGCCCTGCTTCGGGACCTGGGGGCGGTCGCTTTCGACTGTTTGCTGGAGCAAAATTGAGCGAACTTCGCCGCTCCTTTAGTTTCTCGGGAAGAACATCAAAAAGACCCTGTCAAGGTTGGGAGCAATTAGCGTTTGAATCTCGACACCCGTCGCCAGCTGCAGCTTACCGTCAGGCTGAGTGTACACCGATCGGCAGCCATGCTTCGCTTCGCAAGACTTGCCAGCGTGTCACGTCCTTCCTTTGCATCTTTCAGGATCTCGGTGCTGGTGGGATTGTTCGGATTCTCAATGACGAAGAAGACGAGCGACAGGATGGCAAAGTACGTCGTGTACATGACAAACCAGTACGCACCCACCAACAAACCTCGCCTCTTCATCTCGCTGGTGATGTGAACAATGTTCCGTGCAACACTGATACACGCCGCCGCACAAGCAAAGCTCCTCTTGTCCACGTTGCGCGCTTGACATGCTTGTGATACATAATGTATAAACGGCCGATAGAGCATCATCTGCACGTGAGCGTAGCTTATTCGTAGATGTTGTTGCACCCTATGCACCGTTAGCTCTTGATCGCAATCCCGTCATGTCAATATCTACCGTGACAGGTCCCGTCCAGCATTGTCCGAAGGCCTTAGCTCGCTCGGCAGTTGGTCCATCCAGTTCTGCAGATCCCTTTCAAGCTCACGGATCTTCCTGTGGCTGATACTATAGACCGGCTCGGTCTTGGGGTTTCCCGGCGTTTTCAGCGGATAGATATACCGAACGACCTTTCGCAGAAGCATCGTCAGCCTGGTATGAGCGTTCGTTGCCCTCAACAGAGGAAATGTGCCCGCCGGCATAGGCAAGATTCCTTGCTCCGTGATGTAATCGTCTTCGACCTCGGCAGGATATTCTTGGTCGATGTCGTCTTCGCTCAACATCTGTGGGAGCCCGAGTACAGCGCCCACGTAACAGTCCAATTTGCGCACCAGCCAGAATATTCGCTTTCGTTCTTCCAACTCGATGGGATTGAAATTGATGGGCAGATTGCGGTGCAGGCCCAGCCGACAACACGCCCTCAGGGCAATGCCAATGTATGCGTAACAGGTAGGTAATTTGGCCGAAGACTGCAAGAAGAGGATCATGAAGACGATGGCTTGGATAGTCACCAAATCCCTGCAATCCGTAATGTCGAGCAGTTGCTTGGCGGTGCTGAAGTATTGATATCTGATACATCGTCAGTACAAGACAAGGTTGTCAGAATGAGGCTGAATGGCTCCTACCCCTGTTCTATGGCCTCCTTGTAACCTTTCAGGTCCAGCATGGTGTTGTCATTCTCCGTCTTGGAAAACAGGCACCCGACAGCCATGACCACATAGAGTTGAGGCAGGAATTGAACATGACGATTGTTATATTGCTCGGGATCAGTGTCGTAGACGGCGTGAAGTCGCTTGAAGAATGTCGGTCGATGAATTGGGCGCATGAGAGCGCAGCAGTCGTCAAGGGTATTGCGACACAACTCCACAGCCACCTCTCGGGGAGGCAGATCAATGTGGTGAGAGAGGTTGAAGTCGATCGGTGACGAGTTTGCTGACTTGGGTGACTCGAGGACCTGCGCTATTGTGCGGTTCTTGCTGGGATGGCGGTATTCGGACAGAAACTGGTCGCCAAACTGCGCCCGAAATTTTCTCATAAAGACATAGCCAGAGGAATGACCATGAAAGTCCCAATTGCCATGATCGTCAAGATCGAGAGTGCCGGTCCGGTCGACCATCGATTGGAGTTGAGCATCATCATCGGCTTTTGGCGGGTCGGCGGCTGGTCTCGCATTTGCATTTGCAGTTCCACTGCCAGTCCCATTGCCGTTGACATTGACATCGACATTGGCACCTGCGTTGGCGGGGGCGGTGGCGCCGGTGTTTGCACGACCTGCCTCGATGAGCTGTTCCACGGTCCGCACGTCAAACTTGGGATCGTCCAGATCAAGCCCCGGTAAGACTGAGCGTAGGACTGACTCGGCTTTCTGCAGCCTCTGCTCCAAAGCCTCGATATATTGTGGCGCAGGATTTCGCCTTCGATTCGAAGGTTGATCATATGTACATTCTAGAAAGGCCGCCATCAGTGAATCCATAAGCGACAACAGCATCAAGAGCAAGGATGGGCTTGGACGCCAGTCATAAGGTTCACGCACCGTAGCTGTAGACGGTGCAGTGCGTGCAAGGCTGTTTGCCATCACACTTGATCTTTTTGCGCCGGCACTCATCACAGGCTCGAGTCACCCGTCGTCGTTTCTGCATGGGGACGGTTGGCTTTGTCCCCGACTCACTGGGTGGCGACTCAGCAGTAGGAGAGTCGGGTCGCGATTCTGACCCATTTTCGGCCGGGTGATTTGTGCTGGCCATGGGCGCGGTGGTGGACGGTTCATCTCTCAGAGCCTCGTCGGACGGGCGACCCATCGACTGGGGCGTTATCAGTTCCTGGTCGCCCATCCGTCCTCCAGCCCCAGGCGGCTAACCAAGCGAGGAAAGACTGCGAAAGTCGAGAGTTGCGTTGCGCTCATTCGCTCACAAGGTCGGCAAGACTCGATGCTGGGACAGCACTGCGGTAGGAAATGGTGACGCATACAGAAAAGGCAAAGATAAAATCCACAAGAGCCTGGGAAGGACAGTTTGTCTGGGCCGGTCAAAAGGCTGCCGGATTCGGAGACAGGGACCCCGCAGCTCCGGTTGGTGCTTTCGGAGGAAGACAGCGATATCGCTGAGAATGAGCGACAGGAAAAGAAGAGGGAAGGAAAAAACCAAAACAAAATGATATCCGTGTGCAGAGAAAGGCAGAGCGATTTGGGAATTGATCAACCCCCTTCGCTGGTACGAGCCGTACGACCAAAAAAACCCGCCCACCAGACAACAAGGGAAAAGCGAAAGGGCAAGGGCACAAGCATGGGAAGGGCCTGGGAAAAGGAAGGGAAATGGGCAAAAGGGCAAAAGGGAAGCATATCCACAGCCCATTGCACACCCATTCCACCCACTACCACCGGGCAGCTGTGCCCTTGGGGCGCTTGTTGGTCCCCCACTTGAGCCCATGACATTATTAACCAAAGGACGGGTTTTTGACGGGGACCGTGTGCGTCATTGGACATGATTAGGGTCTCTGGCTGTGCGGGTGGAAGATGGAAAGGGCTGGCTTGATTGCTGGAGACCTCGAAGCGGATACCTGTGCGATGGCCCCCCCCTCCCTCCCCCTCGACTTGTCCCCTCTTCTCCTCCTTCGTATTCCCCTCTTGGGTCCCTGCGAAGCCTGCCTCTTTCTTCCGTTTTTAGGTCTTTCAATAGCGGGAGCAAGTGGGCGTTGTCGTTGGGCGTGGGCGAGGCGACAGGCTGAATGCCAGGTCCATCAAATGCATGCAAACAGTGGATGCTCTCGATCCCATGGCTGCGTGGTGACTGGTGGGCAAACGCCGATCGTATAGTGGTCCTGACCGATTCTTGGAGCTCCTCATGCCTGTCTCTGGTAGCAGCCGTGTCTGTGAAAGAGTCTGGAGTGGTAATGCGAGTGGGTTGGTGTTGAGCAAGGTAGGACAGGGCTGTAGCTAACTGTGACCCGTACCGAGTAGACGCATGGTCAGGCTAGAGAATTCGTGAGAGTCTTTCATGTCTCTCTTCCCTGGAACTAACAGTAGTAGTCTTGGGTGGTGACAGCCGCTTTACCCCCGAGAGAATGGCCACTTTTGTAAGGTCGCGAACCAGAAGGGCAATTTGGGGGTCATATATGATATGTATCTTGTATATTCCGCAACGAGGTCGTCGTCCCGTTGTCCCTCGAGCCTTCTTCCCCCTCTTCTCAATCCCATCAACATCGCTGCTCTCTGTTCGGTCTGTAGCTAAGGCTCGTTCTTCGCGTGGCATTTGGGACCGTCATCCTATCGCGTGGCCGACCGTGCCCACCATTGCTTAACTCCGCCCTAATGAGCCCAGGGGGTCTCGCCGATCGCGCAGGGTTCCAGGGCCAGTCGGATATCCTCAATTTGTTCCCCCCCCTGTATCCCCCTGAGCGCCTGGTTGTGGGTATGGGTAATGGTGAAAAATGTCGCTCGTGGCACGGCACAGAAGCTGCCCTGGGACCACAGGTATATCGCCATATTGCCCATTCGCCAACAAGCGGTGAATCGCGGCTGAGACATGCTCTCAAGGGCAAACGAACATGGCCAAGGGATACCCTAACAAACTATCACAAACATATCCCGCCGCATTGTCTACCTATGTGCTGTGCCGACTACCTGATAGGCCCACCTGTTGCGCCTGTTAGGCTCTGGCGTCGCCTGGTAGCCCGAATCCCAACATCATTGTGAGGGGCAATGATTGCAATTCCGTCTACTTCGCTTTCACCGACGTAGGAGGCTGATCTTGGCCTGTCGCTGTCGTTTGTTCTTCCACACGGACCTTCTCTCCATCCACGGCGGCAGCCGTCATGTTCCCGGGCGAGCCAGCAGAATTGTAAGTCTGTAAATCCCCAAACAACTCATTCACGGTCTCTAGGGTATGACCTTGTGTCTCAGGGTAGAAGAAATAAACCACGACTGCGGCGACCCAGTTGAAGGCACTGAATATATAAAAGTATCGGTAACCCATTTTTGAAAGCGCAATAGGTGAGCATTGTGCAAAGATGAGGTTAACTGCCCAGTTGGTGAACGTGGACAACGAGGTGCCTTTGGCTCGGATGGCCGTCGGGAAGATCTCGCTGCTGAAAATCCAGGAAATGCATCCCAGGCTGGTGAAAAACACCGAGAAGACAAAATACATGGCCACACAGGCGCGCAGGGCGTTGCTACTGCGACTGGGATCTGGTGTCCCTTCAATGTAGAAATGCGAAAGCGTGGCATTGACGCAGAGCGCTGCTCCCATACCAATCATGGATGGTATAAGAAGCTTTCTTCGTCCCACGCGGTCCACAAATGCGATGCAGATGGTGTTGTAGACCTGGGCGAGGGCACCATATATGCCGATAATCATTAGAGACCTGTGCTGTATTAGTACTGGATATCAAATCCCAGATCCCTCGACGGCGAGTGCCAACCTGGTGGTGCTGAAATTAAGATAACTGTAGATACGGGGCCCGTAGCTACTCTCAGATCAGTATCAAGCACGTTGCTTCTTCAAGCACAATCTAATGACCCAGCTATCTTTTGGCCAACGTTGCAGGAAACTTACTAGTTGATGACATTGATCCCCGATGTTTGCGTGAAAAGCTGTATCCCACAAGCCAACAACACCCGCCGTCGGAGGCGCGGCTCACGAAACATGTCGATCCACCCCAAGCGAGACCTTTTCTCCGCTTCAAGATTGTCTTGGATGCGTTTGTACTCGGCTTCAACAAGCTCTTGACCTCGGTGGAGTCTTTGCAGGACCGCATGAGCATGAACCGCGTCTCCGCGCTCAGCGAGGAATCGAGGACTCTCAGGCAGAAACCAAATTCCTGCTGCAAGGACCACGGCTGGTAGCACTTGAAACGAGAGTGGGAACCTCCAGCTGAAAGGGCCGTCGACCAACGAGCTTCCATAGCCGATCCACTGGGCACATAAAAATCTACCATCTCGTTAGCAAGCAGATACAAGGGGACTATTGCCCGGCGGTGAAGCAAACCCAAGTCCGATATTCCATTGTTGCAGCCCAGCGAGAAGGGCTCGATATTTCGGGTGCGCAACCTCTGAACAATAGTTGGGGATCGTGGCCGATAGCAGCCCAATAGCCAGACCAGCGACTACCCGACCTATGATGATAGTTGCGACATTGTTTGCGCCGCCTTGCAGTGCGCCTCCTAGGCATGCTAATATGGCTCCGAGGAAGATGGCGGCCCGTCGACCATACTTGTCCGAGAGCACGTTGAGGAAGAGTGATGATACTATAGCGCCTCCTGTAAAGGATGATACAATTCCACCTGCTGTGTTGTCCGCTAAAGTTCCGTTGCCGAAGCGGTTGACGAAGTCTGTCTGGGCGATCGAAGAGGAGATGATGCCTGAATCTACTCGTCCCACCCGTCACTTATCAGTAAAGTGTCTGCGAAAGAGAAGAGCAGTCGTTGCTGGTCCATCGAGCCGTCGTAGCTCTGCTCCTTGGTGCAGGTAGGTCGCATGGTAGTTGAGGTGATCTCTATTCCATGGAGATCATCGCTGAGAGGGAGACTGCAATGAAACGTACCATAACCAAACAGAAGCGCCCCCAAGCAAGCAAAAGTACAACAGAAGCCTACTAAAAGCATCTGGCTGGCATCTGGAGCTGCCTAGTGGCAGCATTACCTTCCAAAAGTGGGCATATACTCTTGAACAGGTATTGCCGTGTCAAAGACGCAAACTGGGAAGCAATTAAGGTGCTGCAAAGAATCCCAAAATTGACAAACTGAGGGACGAAGTGATGGCCAGGCTATCACAACCAACACTTGTCGAGTGGCACGGTGCTGTCGGCAACAGTGGAAATAGATAGATCATACCCCGGATCCCTGTGGCCACTTAAAGTCTTAATAGGCCCCCCAAAGCGAGCGAATGTCCACCAAAGAGCTGCGCTTCGTATTGCGGTGCCGAGGGTGCGGAAAAGCCGCAGGTGTGAAACCAACTGCCCAGCATTGTGCCACCAACCTCAACCGTGCAGTGGCTTCTGGTTTGGTGTCCAGAGTCCCCGTTCTTAGAATGTACATTGAAGTTTGAGCAGGTTCAAGGCCCAGGGCAGGCCCAGGGCACTGCAAGGCTGCCAGGAGGTAATGGTTTAGGACATTGACAATGAGGGGCCTGATAATTTCATTCGCTGGTTCTTAGGCAAGAGAAGAACAGGGTCTGGCACATGGCGCCGATCTTGTGCGTTTTCGAGCCCTTAGCACAGGCTGTGGGAAGTCCGGTAATGCCCGCCTAAGACAACCTTTGAACTGTTGAGCGTTGGTGCTTGTGAGCCCCGCAGACGGTAGCAAGAAACAAGCGAAAAAAGCTGAAAGGGTTATTTTCGCCCAGTCTGGGCCGCCAAAGAACCGAGAAATCAGGTTGGTTCCAGCATGAATCGGGACCGATAGCTGACCAAGGGCGCTTGCAGTATCTCTGTGCGCAGCTCGGTTTCCCAATTCACCATGACGGGAACGAGCCCAGGTCCCAGTGACAAGAAGTTTAGGAGCAAGTCGTTCAGCCTCTCAAACGTCGGTCGGGACAATCGCTTGGACACTTTTAGCATTCGGCCAACAAACCAGGGTCTTTCGGTATGTAACAGGACAGGATTGCTACTTCCGCTCAATAATATCTGTATCAGTGCCTCCACAGAGATATGTCGATCCAAGTCGTTGTGCACGATGTTGTCCATGAGCTCAGCAAAGAATGCCTCGCTGTTCTCGATCGAGTGCCGGTATTCCCAAATGGCTGTATTGATCGTCATCAGTGCAGCCAACCTGGAAATAATCTGCTTAAACTGTCCCGTCTCCGTGTAGCGTGGGCCGTTGGGACTTGCCAAGAGGTTGT